CCCTTGATCTCGTTGATTCCACAAATAGACTACTAGCCCAAATCATTTATGATCATCATCCATTCTCTTCTTTAAAATTTGAATCACTAATTCCTTCATTCTGTGCTATTCTATACCTAGTTAATTGGGCCTGGGTTGTTGTGGGCCTCCACACCCTGATTACTTTATCATGAAATGTACCAAAGGAGGCCACTTAGACCAGAATTGCCATTATATTCGATAGCCTCACAACATAGGCATCAGCTCATCTCAATAAAGTAGGGAAATAATTTTGAATTATAGTCAGGCTAAAGAGTGAGACATGCTTAATGTTGATATATGTTCCAAGAAAACCAATCCAACCATTGACATACCGACCTCTACTGCTGCGACTGAATACATGGTGGCAATAACTTCACTCCTTTCTGTCCCGTCTCATCTCTCATTGATGTACATATCCCTATTCACAATCTCGTTTCAAAATTAAACAACTGTTCTGTGTACACATACAAGTATTGTCATCGTCTCTTTCTCTATCTACCTCTCATATTCTCATCCTTTCCTTCTTTAATCCAATTCAATGCTCACGTTCCTAGTAAACATCAGCTCCATTTCTTATATTTACTCTCTCTCTCTCTCTAGTAATAATTTCTCTTCCGTTAATGATAATCATCACCGCCCTATCATAGTTTTTCTTTGTCTGATCTCAGCAGTGAGGCAATCAGCGAAGAAATAATAATTTACTGAAATTTTTTATTATTTTACATCTAGCATAAAAGACTAAAGGGAATTCCAAAGCGACACTTCACATCCTTTTATTAGAAAACTTCAGTTACCAACCGCTACTGACATGGGCCTCCCGTTCAATGGGGAAGTGGACAAAGCTGCGGGAAACATTGACCTTGCAAGGTCAATACACCCACACCACGGATAACTTGCGAGATAAAAGAGAGAAAGAAACTTCTCAACGAACCATGCCAGTCCCAACTAGGGGCGGTGCAGTCACCCCTCGAGTCTGCTTCTCTACGTTTGCGTGCCATCCTGCACAAGGATTCAAGATCAAATAAAATGGATATAATTGATAGCTTGGTCTAATTTATTTAGTCTAAAATCAGTTTTATAAAAACAGTGCTTATCGTTGCAAGTCCCTAATTGACGATGCTATATGTCTTTCTAGGGGTTAACAGGCCGTGCGTGCCTTGGCCCTGGGTCTTTGTTGGCAAGGTCATGCCCTTCTCTAGGTATGAAAAAAAGCTAGAAATATGGGTCCTTGGTAAAATGCATCTCAGAGAGAGAGAGAGAGAGAGAGAGAGAGAGAGAGAGAGAGAGAGAGAGGGAGGGAGAAAGAAAGACGTGATCATGCGTCAGCTGGCCTGACCCGGTAAAGGGTTTTGCCTGGCGGACTTCTTTCTTTCTACACATTGTCGACTTCAGATGATTACTATAAGGATTTCCGGTTCCAATAACGATTGGAGTTTCTCCGACCAACTGATACCTGGGTAAACAAAGAACTTGTCGAGACTTGATGAGACGCCGATTAAAACATTGCAGACGACAAGACGAGAGGCGATACGTAACGAACGAGAAGGTCATGCACTACTGACCAATGTTCATGTCGAAGCCACGATTCTTGAGCTCCCGGTACTCCTGACAGAGGGCGCACCCCTCGCAGCAACAGTGAACGATGAAGTCCGGGCACGGCGACTCCGGCAGCGCGTAGTGGCTCCTCAGCCTGCTCCGGTAGAAGCACGAGTATATGCAGGGGCACCCTGTCACGAAAGCGACCAGCGTGTACAGCGCTCCGCTTGCTCCGCAGGCTGAGGAATTGGTATGGGATCAGAAAGGAGTAGCAGGGACTTCTCGATCAAGGTTTGGAATATGGAACACTCACAACTGGAGCCCCGATCAACGATCTCGGCGACCTGGCCGAAGGTAATGCAGGGGCACCAGCAAGTGATACAGCCTGAAATAAGAACGGCTTTGAGAAACGGGTAATGATAAGATCGTCCTCCCTACTTCTCGTCTCCTTCCCTCTTTCTCCTTCTATCAATGTTACCCGCGTTAGAAGGATAAGAAGGGAAGGCGCCTACAGTTTCCAACGTCGTCGAAGCATTCACAAAGTCCGGTGGACCACTCAGCTGGCGCCGCCGCTTGGGTCTCCACATGCAGCGGCAACGGATTCACCGGGAGACCCACCGACGGCGCCGGTGGGTAGGTCTCCGCCTTTCCCCCAGGAGCCACCATGGCCGATGAAATCACTCCGCGAACCCCCGCGGTGGCTTTGAAGAACGAGCGAGCGAGGAAGATTTTAAACCATATTTCACGTCTGGTAGACTCCCGGAGTCATCACGCGAAAGACCGATTGATGCAACTCTTTCAACGCGAAATATTAGCCACTCGTAGGTCAACGAAGCCAAAAAAGAGTCAACTCTATTATCTAACGACATATAAATGGGACCCCCCACATTTGCTTCACGTCATATAATTCTCAGCGGCTTCCTGTGGCGTCACATCTCATGATGCCTTCAAGTTGCTGGCCACCTCTACAAAGATATTTCATTCGTCTACTCTTCCGAGAAAATTTCACATCTACAGAGATATTTCTAGGGCTTTCACTCCCTAGAAAACTCTGTAAATTAAGAAAAACGATCGTCGTTACACAAGTTCTGCTAAAACTTGAAAATCAGAAATAGCCTTGCGTTAACCACCGTTAACATACTCCCCACCTAGTCGTACCTAACGTCGATTAGGAAATCGAAATTACTCCTTCCAATCCTTAGCCGTTTTCCAACTTGGACGACCTATCCATGACCATCACTGAAGCCCACTTTGAGGAACAGATCGAGCTATATTAGGCCCTCTTCTAAGGAAGGTCGACGGATAAAAGCTCGCCCAATGGAGCCCGTTTCATTGGTGAATCGGGCCTGGCCCAAGCGCACTTTCTTCAAGGATTCACCCGTGCGACAGCTCTGCGGAGATTTGAAGGAGTTTGCGGATTTTTTTGGATATTACTTTTTTTTTTTAAATCTTGACTAAGCCATTATCATTACAACGTTCCGCAGCAGATGTAAGATATTTGTTCCTGTTGATTATACCTCAGACTTCAAAACATTGGATCTTTTGAACCTATTTCTCTTCACTGCTAAATTTTGGTTACTTAAATCTAATAACATTTTTTTACTAAAAATGTAGATTTTCATACTGAGAATATCGAGTCAATTCACAATTTTACTTTTACCCTCTAAAAGAAATTCTTTTTTGTACCATAAATTACATTTTCTCTTTTGTTGCTTGGCTTTCCTCACATGAGAGAAAATAATAAGTTAAAATATACACTAAGGCCCCATCTCCATACCTCTAACTCTACTAGACGCATGCATATCGAGGGTTGGGCTGAACCAATCTACACCTGGACAAGACTTGATGGGTTCTGGTCTCAAGCTCCAAACCCTTTCATACACAATAACCGTCATACACACTTTGTTGCAAGATGATCCATATTGGTCCATCTTTGTCGATTGGTGATTGGCTGAAAATATTTGGATGACGGCTGTAATTGAGAGGTTTCAGGGCCTATGTTATGAGCTATGCTTATGTTCAAAAATCTTATACAATTGATATCAATTTCAATATCTTGATACTTTTTCGCAAAGTTACATTTGACTCACATCCATGGTACTTTCCAACTGATTACTCAGATGCCTACTCAATGAAGTTAAATGGTTCACAAAATTACAATACTGGTACTCCTATTTATGATAAAAAATGCCTTTCTATACATAGTCATCATCAAGACTTTTTAGCCTGGCCAAAGGGTTCATCTCCTTTCACTCTATTTAGGCTAGATGGATATTACATGTCATCAATTTCATGATTTTGCATTGGACTTTATTTTAACTAAATAGTTTTATAAATTCTCAAAACATTATTGAGTGTTAGCTCATCATAACCCAACAAAAAAGCAAATACGCATCATAAGAAATTTTTGAAAATTTCTTTAGGACCTGAACTATATAAATAAATAAAAGTTTTATATTTTGGCTACTATAAAATCAAGACACTTCCAAGCAGATTGGCCATTATTGAAAAGGAGTGATCAACAAAGAAGAAAGCAAGGCATAATGTTAATGCAAGACATGTTGAGCAATCTTCTGATTAGGGAATTTTTTTTAACTTTTCATATTCCTAATGAAGTTATTTTCTAGTGCTCAATAAGGGAATTACATTCATTTTTAACACGAAAATTCTATTTCAAGCTTCAGAATTTCTTTGTTCATTTCTTCATATTCGCCTTGAAAATATTCAAGTCATAGACTTTACACTGTACTGAGTCAAAGTACCAGAGGCGACCAAATGGTGTAATCAGAGACCCTCTTCTATCCCTCACACGTTTGGCTCCAAACTAGAGCTCACATTCTAATTTTACCTTTTAAATGTATGGCCCATTGGTATCCCCACTCACTTCAACTAATGATTTCCAACAGAAGAATTTTCATCAGATTATGTGCATGATCCAGGGAGAGGAAATAATTGGAGCATAGATCATTTCAGAAAAGCGATCAATCATCAAAAGTGTGGGTCCCGAAATAAGCATCAACCTTGGAAAGATAGGACGATTAATCAGGTAGATGAACAGTAATGAAATCGTACAGAAACGTCTATCACACCCATCCATGAGTGCTTTTGGACCAGCCATTAAACACTCGAAGATTTTAACTATATAAAATGAGACTCACAAAAGCCTTGATCAAATAAAACCCCAGCCCCTAGTTGACATCTTATACCAACAGATTCGGCAAAAAAGTCAAATCAGGGATCGACCCATCCCAAAAGCAACAATCATTTCTTCTTTTGTACAGAATTTGGATGGACTTCTTCTGAGCTTTAAACCACACACCCACCCACACACCCTCCCTGTAAGGAAACGACACATGGGAAACCCATCTTTGAAGAACCTCAACTGATACTGTAGTTAAACCTGTACAATTTTTCTGACCCCATGTGCGTAAGTTAGTCTGAAGCTATACATCATATACAGGCATGCGCTCCTCGATGGCTACTCTGCAGATGGGGCACTTCTTGCACTTCTCGGCACAAGCCCTTCAAAACAAACAGCATTTGGGAAAATAAAGGTAATTAAGTTTTCCAAATAGGGTAGGGCAGGAAGGGCAAAACAAATCAGAAGCAGTGGGAGAATGATTGCATACTTGCAAAGAGTTCGATGCCTGCAAGGAAGAAGCACCATGCAAATTTCCCCCTCAAAGCATATTCTACACAGAATCTTTTCCTGGAGATTGGTTGTTCCACAAGAGTATGTGATGTGAGTTCAAGGTAAATACCAGCTCTGGTTTTGGACGAACTTAGAACAAGACCGAAAGATATGAGAATTGGAATCCAAAGATAGATATGGTCAACGATATTCCTGGAAATGTGAGAAACAAGAAGAGGAAAAAACAAACAGGGTTTCAATCTCATTACTAGATTGCCGTATTTCATAAGGGCATCAGATTGGCAGATGACTACTAGTTCAAGAGTAACGGTTGAATTGGAATGGGATGCGCGTGCCTTTCTGCACAAGACCATGGAAAGCAGCTGCCAATCTACTGAAATGGGCCATTTTACACAAGTCTAACTTCTTTTTCAGACGAGCAGATAAAGATGGGCCCACAAGGGAACTCTTCAGACTACTGGAGCGCAATTATACCAAGTAAGTTCAGGAAAAGTACATTTTGAAGTCTCTCGTATTCTTGTTGGCTATACTTGGTGATTTCAGCTTGCTCACCAAGAGCGGCCTGTAATCTCCATATCTGAAAGCCAAATAGAAACACAGCGACTGTTGCTTAACACATACTGAACTAATGCAAAACTGAGCCAGGCGGAACCCAATATCAATCAAAGAAAACGACGACAGCGGAGAAGAGAAGACCTCTTCGGCAAGATCCTTCTTTGGCATTTTCTTCACAACCTCAGGTGGATACCCGCAAAAAGTATTGTACCTGTCCAGATCATATAGATGCATAAATAAACGTGAACTTTGGCAACGTATGCACGGTAAAATGCTAGTAAATTTCGAATATCATTCAATAAGGTGATGTAAATGGAAAGATCAACTATTGGACCCGGATCTAAGGGATTCGGAAGTACTGTGGTAGGAACTTGCAGTTTTCAATTCTTCTGTAAAATAATCAAAGGATATGTCATACAAAAGCAAGAGCCAAACAAAAAAGAGTTATAGAAATCTGAAACCGCCTTTATCATGGAACACCATTGGGCAGAGAATTTTGCATGTAGCCAGAAGTACGCAGTCTGAACCCAAGAGTAGTTATCGTCCACTAAAATCTGATAAAGCCTTAAATGGCCAAACATGATTAAGGGCGCAAATGAGCATAGAAAACAGATGTTAAATATGTAAACAGTAATTTCTCTTTTCTCATATGAATGTTTACTACGGCACTAAAGATACCTCATTACACAATAGATTGTGTACAAAATATAAAAGTTCATAGACCTAAGAAGAATGTAGTACAGGAGAATTTAGGAAAACATTGATTCCCCTGAGCATTGGAGATAAATCTCAACAAAATAAACAAAATACACCTGATATAATTGCGTCATGCCAAAACAGGGTGTAAATTACAGAGAAAACCTGCCCAATAACAGGGAGAGCACTACAGGACTAGCTGAATTTTCTCTTGCATTGTTAGGGTGAAAATAAAAAAGTTTAGGAAGGATTGGTGAATACATTTGAAAGAGAATCCTTCAAATATGAGTCATAGAGAATCACTGGACACTCAGCAATATTCAGTTTAGACACGAATATTTCACCTCAGTTTCATTGAAGGATTTATTCCAATCAAAGTGGTGTTTCTGCTACCCCCACTTTCAAAACACACATCAATCTGGAGTCCGCGGCTAAATTCCAAGCTAAAATGCATCCCAAATAGTTCGCAAGTAAATGAGCTAACAATAAAGTATATCGATGAAATGTTAGGACATAGAAAATGTGATTGACACTTCGAAAACATGTTATGAACTTTAACTGCCATTGTCTCTCTTTCCACTGTAGATACTCACCCAATGGCTCCAGCTTGAAATAAACGAGCTTGCTCTTCTTTACTTCCTTCGTCAATTGACCACCATCCAAGCAGTCTTGTGTTTAAAGGAAAAAGTAAAGGATTAGAAAAAAAAATTATGCATAAGAATGTATCTTATTAAAATTGGATCACATCAAAAAGTGCAGATCAAAAGAAGAGATAGTTGAATCACCTTGAGCCATGGTGAAGGAACGCAAAGCAGTCATGAGCTCTGGAAGAAATCGTTAGACAGGTTCCTGTAACAGATCCACCTTGCAGCAGGATCACAAGCTTCTCCACCAATCTTGTGATAGAAAATAAAACACCAGCACCTTGCAAGAGAAAAAGTGGAGAGAAAAGGGCAAGAATTGGGATATTCCGTGCTGCTGCAGGTGTTCCCTGGAATCAGAAAGAATATAGGTTTCATTTGTTTAAAGGTCTAACTGAAATGATGATTACATTTTTTGGATGTAAGCACTCATATTCACTAATGAAAATACTTCACGGTCATAACAATAAACAGAAAAAACCTCGGGCACAAGATAAGCACTTTAACAAGACTACCAACTTTTCCACGTAGAACAGAAATTGGACAAAAATGTGGATTTAGATGGATTTAAACTAATAGCTTGTCAACAAAGAACCAAATTCATGGGTGACACCCAAATCTATCTCAACTTGCACCATGGGTAGATACTTTTGGAAACTATATCACATGTTTCCATCATACGTCGCTTTTTCAGATACAAGTTCCACGCCAAAAAATATTCGTTCAAGAAATTTGAAGAAAGGGAACAAGGAGATTGTAGAAGTAACCGATGACAATCAGGTTATACTCACAACCCGAGTTTAATCACTACCAACGACTCTCTGGCACTAATACAGATTCAGCATAGCCAGAAGAAAATTCCTCTCAAAGGAATGCCAAATAAGCAGACACCAAAGCAGAATATTTTAATATTCAAGAATACTTTCATACTATTTGGCCAGGTCCACAATAAATAGAACCACTGAGACTTCATAGATCAACCAGATCAAAGCTGATAATAATTAAAACAGTCTTTGACGGCAACAGAGTTGACAATGATTAAAAGATACTTACTGCAGCTCAACTATCATTGGTTTAAGGATAATGCAATATCACCACCAAGACTATCCGATTATTTCATAACAATTGTGTCCTGTTAAAAATAGTTTCAGTGCAATGATGCGGTAGATGATACATTGACAAAAAGAAGCTTTCCACACAAACAACATGGAGATAGGAAGGAGGACGAAGGCCAGAGAGAGTCATTACATATAGCCAGAGAGGGAATATGATAGCACCTTGAGGCTAGAAACTCCAATCCCTTTTTTAGAGGCCGGGCAAGTGAACCAATCCTTCTAAGGCTGGAAGAAGGGAGTTGCAAGCGGATGGGTAATAAATGGAGAAGGGAAGTGACCACGGATGAGGTGTCACAAGTTTCAGCACTGCCTCGAGACAATGGTGGGAACAAATTCTTTTATATCTGCTTGGCACTCAACTGCACGCTAGGCCACAACCTCCTAGGTGTTCCATAGACTTCAGTCGCTAATGGGGTGGAAGCTGCAGTCCAGAGGAAAGAGAATCGAAACCTGAGTACCTAGGAAGTTGCATCATACAAAAGTGGAGATACAACAGACAAGATAGGGTGAAACGTCCAACAAGAAGAGAAGAAAAAAAGAAGGGCAAGGCAAAAAAGTCCTGTTGCAAAATGTTTGAGCCTCATTCACCAGGAAGAAGATATGACAAGCCAAAGTGAGAGGAAGAAGCAATTGGAAGGAGAAACAGTTCAGTGGGAGGACCAGCAAGTAGTCACAGAGAAAGGAAGAACTATGATATGAGAGACTCTGCCAATTGTGAGATGATGGTTGAAACTGATAAAAACAAAATAGAAGAGATCATAAGATATCCAAAGGGCAGAAAAACCATCAGTTGATTTTCATCCCCCCTTTCATTGGAGATGACAGAAAAGAATATACATAGCCACACAATGACTGGTAATCCTAAAGGCCTTACTCATCTGCCAAACACCAAACCCCCACCAATCGAAGGAACCCCAATAAATAGGGAGGGAGAAGGGAAAGTAAGAACCCTTCTCCCACTGTGTTTTCCTTTTTTTGGGGGAGGCTACAGGGAGAAGAGGCCTTTCTTTGTCTTATACAAGACAGCCCATTCCAAAAATGAAAGGAAGTAAATTCCTTAAGCGGTTTATGTCCCACACTAGAAGAACTATGGACCAGGGATCCTAATCCACGTCCAAGGGTCCCAAAGTGCGACCGGCCAAAAGGATCAGCCCCAATATGATGTGGGATAAAATTCAACATTAGGTGCGACAATTAAGTGGCCAGACAACCTATCACCGTGGGGGGATGTTAGAGCTGCCAAGTGGTTTCAATCATTTTACAACTGTCATATGGTTTCAACATTATTCAAAGGCTCCACCAACCGACTTCCTTCAGGTGAGGTCAAATCCAAAACCTCTATGCACACTCGAATCCACCACCAAACGGGGGTTCCAAACCACCACGACCAAAATATTTTCAAGGTTCCATGAATAGATAAATTTACAGCAAGTTTTACAGAACAAGTTCACATCTTTAACATTAACAGAAATAACTAAAAGTCTAGTAAATAAAGAAAATATGGAGCAGGGAAAATATTTGTGCGTCCCCCAAGCCTGGGAAGGTATAATTACCTCCAGATGCATACAGAGAAGAACCTGAAAAATCACCAGAGGAACTTTCATAATATGGCCTCCAATATCTGGTAAACCACACAATTGCTCTTGCTGCTGGTCTTCAAATGAAGGAAGAACCAAACCACTGTTCCATTCACGGTATCGAATCGCATTTGAGGATGAACCAGGTTCTCTATGATGCACTTCCCGATGGATCATAGGATTGGACCACTTTGTACAGACAAGAAAAGCAAAACACTCTGCAATTCTGTGCAACAGAAATCGGAATGTTTTTACAAAAGAGACAAAAGAGATCAAGAAGAAACCATTTTTCAGCACTGACAGAAGTAAATATGCATACCCATAATTTATAAATAAATCCCACCAGCCCAAGGCACCAACATCACCTGCAATACAGAATCCCATTATGTGATGTACATTAGTCTTTCACAATGATGACTAAATAAAAATACACAAAGAACAGTCAAAACATTAGTCTCCCTGACGTTTCACATTTTAAAAAAGTCCATAAAATATTATCTTGGTTCTAATTGCAAGACTCAGAAATCCAAATAATGGGGTTTCCTATCTGGCCATAGTGTTGTGTTTTTCAGAAGGAATAAAACAGACCATTGTGCATAAAAAATCCATCATCCTCAATCCATCATGCTAATGACATCATAAAAAATATCAGAATGATGGCAATACTCGATTTAGTGATAAAGGATGGCCGATTTCAAAATCTAGAACTCTACGGATGTGCTACTCTGGATATTTGATTCTGAACATGGTAACCCCCATTTGAAATCTACAGATCAAAAAAGTATTTCACAAATCGAGGTCTCTTTTATAAGCAGTGCCAAGCCCTATACAATAATCAAATGGGAAATCCATCCACACTTGGTACTGTAAAAAGAACAGGATAAAAAGTGATCCAACAACTTTCTTGGTAATATTAGACACGTTGCAAATGAATGCTTTTGTAAAGTAAAGATAAATTTCTGAGAAATGAGCACAAAAAATTAAAGAACATAATTTATGCCTTAAAGCCTTCATTATCAAGATGACACAAAACATCCATAACCTGGTCTCTGCAAAGTTCAAATTGGCTTCTGCTATTTTAACCGAAATTAGAAATAGACATTCATTATCTACTACTTTAGTACATCAACAATGTAGCCAAATGACTTCTAAAACCAGACACTGGCAGGCAACATCCCACGAGTGTGCTTTCTAATACATCAATCCCGAGAACTTCCTGGAAGAAACTCTATGGACATTTACAGCCTCACCAGCCGTATCTGCACTGCCATCGAACTGACATTATTTTCCATCTGAATGGTATATTAGAATCAATATGAACGGTTGATACCAACAGTTTTAGAAAAGGTTCTGTAAAACTATCAATGTTCAGAAAGTACAGATAAAACACAGAATTGACTAAAATAAAGATGGAAAATTCAGATGAATGAATTACCACATAATTTAAGAAGTGTGAACGTTGTTGCAGCAACAAGAAAAACCATTGATATAGCAACCCAGAAATGCTAGAAAGGAAAGCAGAAAAATAGTCAGCGAGAATGGTATCTCAACAGAATCCGTAGCCAAAACAAATCACACAAGACATTTAACATCAACAAGACATATTATAAAAATAACATTAAGAAATCAGGAAATTATAAAGTATACTTGATCAGAAAAACGTGCTCAAAGAAGTTAGAATATTGACAATTATGTTAAATATACTCCTATATTCCCGAGTCTAAGGTATGAGAGGAAATTTAAATAGAAAGTCGCAATAACTAAGAGACATGGGAGGAAAACGAGGATAACTGAGAGACAATTATGTTAAATATACTCCTATATTCCCAATCAATGACATGGGAGGAAAACCCCAAAAATCTATATGCCCACGATCCCAACAGCAAATTCAAACAATAGGAGAGACAACACATGTCAAGAATGTTACAAATTACGTTCATTATATAGAATATTTAACCTTCCATGAAAAACCAATCTTATTTTGTCAAATTGCCTAAACGAGGTTTCCCCCATATTTTGTCAAGCCACAACTTCATGCTTTTCCTCTTAACAAAATCACCAGAGAGAATTCTAAGTTAGAGAGGGCATATTCTGAAAAGACAACATGAACAGGAACTGCAAACTTATAAGTTAGAAAACCAAGCTGATCACAACCTAAGCATCAGCTAGTTTAATGATTATCATGTGACTTCCTCTTCTGGCCTTAAAAAAATCGTTTTGCTTTCTACAAGGAATAAGGTATTGACTTTGACCATGGCAAAATACAGAGTACTTCTATACACATCAGTCAGAGATGTAGCACTCACTATAACATAACCACGAAAACTTACTGAAATATACGAAAATCGTATGAAATTACAGTTCTATTTGTTACAACGTATGCTTGAAATATACCACAAAATTGGGCCCAAAAGAAATTCCAAGAGGTGATTTAGAAAGAAAGCTCACTGGAAGTGTCTCCCATATGGCTTCATCGGTCATGCTTTCCTCATCTCCTGGCATTAGAGCCCTGCACATCCTGCTTAAACAAAACACTATTGACTTAGCATCACACAGATTGGCCATTACTTGTACACTGAAACATCACACATGCATATGTGATATCTTTAGAAATGCAATGCACTTTACAAAAACTAGTTAAGCTCCATTAACAATGAGCACATAATTATAAATGTCTCACCTTCATTAAAAAATAATTTACTTTCACTCACGGCTCAGATTCAATCATTTTGTGGAAGGTGCTGAATCACACATTCATTTAAGGTGGTGTAAGCAACACATAGCGAAGAGAGTAAAGGGTACTCAACATCCTTAGAGAAGAAATAGACCAGAATGAAAAAAGAAAAAGGATAGGTAGACCATTTATCCAACTATTCACCCTGATATGTCAGAGTTTCTATTTCTAGGTAGCTAAAAACTCCATCAGCCCCCATATTACAGATGCATGTTTCTTTTGTGAGGACGAATACCAATCATACCATTCCATCTGCCCTGTTAATCACATTACTTTCAGCTACATAAACTACCACAGTTGAAAACCAATTACCACAGCGAAATGTCACAGGGAAAAATATTTTGATTTAAAATTTTTAATTAAAATAAAAGACGCCTAGCATTGAACAAAAAGCTAGTACCATTAAAAATATCCACGAGATCAAGAAGAAAAGTCGATGCAATTTCACCACTTATAAAAAAAAGTTACCTTCGCCTTTTGAAATATCTGAAACCAAAGCATGAAATATACACCACTTCAGTAACCCAGTCCAATAAATGGTGACATAGTATGCAGAGAAAAGATCAGGTATCATGGGCAAGCAGGGATGAGTTACCATGATCTACTTTCTGCATAATCTTTTAAATAAAGAAGCCGGACAAACCCATATTTATGTATGTGAAGAAGATAGTTCTAACAATTTTGATCACAAAGTGACATCCGATAGGCTATGACTGTCAATAAAGGTATGTGACAGGCGAAATGCTAAGAAAAAGGATGTGGGACTTTAAAGGGCTTGACAAATAGTTTGAAGACCTCAATAGGGTATCACAGTTGACATTATCATCATAACCGGTATAAAGAGAGACAAACTATCAGGCCTATACTTGTATGTCATCGAGCATGCTATTATTCATAAAATTAATAAATGTTATACATCCTTTGAGTCATAAGACATCTATCTATGAAAGGTCAAATGGTATACAAGTCAAGAAATAGTAAGAATGTATCCAGACAGAACACACAAAACAGAAGCAAGAGCAGCAATAGCAAGTGAAAACAGAAAGCCAGAGACTCAGCAGAAGAAAGTACCTGAAATTGTCAATAAGAATTATCATCTCGAAAGCCAGAAGTGGAAGAAAAACAATCTTCAAGTTTACCGCTGGGTGACCATAAACTGCATGCAAAAGTTCAAATTAATACGATACAAGATATGCAATTTAGCCTCTAAGAATTTTGTGCAATTTGGCCGCTGGGAAAACCAATCTTGTTGCAATTTTGTGCAATTTGTCAAAGCATATGCATGAACTAAATAACAGGGAAATGGGACGGATGGAATAAAATGTGAAAATGATAGCATCACACATTAATTCTATTCCGCTCAGTTCCTAAGTTTGGAGCCTCCGAGTACATACCATAGACACTCTGCAGATAAATACAAAGGAGTAGTTCAAATGCAACAAGCAGTGGAGTTGCCACGACAGCATGACAAGGTGCCCACTACAAGCAAACAATAACAAATATGATCTATCAGCAGGTCATCATGTGGACATGAGTGGATATAGTATAGAACAATAAGGAACCTAGAGTCAAGACAAATAAGGAACCATACATGCCGACCGTGAGGTAATGCTGGAGCAGGCAAGGAAAACCGGCCACGTGCAACAACTATATGAAATAGCCAAAGTGGGGCAAAAATCACCCTGAAAAAATAAAATAACAATAAAAAAAGCAGACAATATTGCAAGTACACATAATGATTGAATGCCTTAATAGAGGTAAAAATATAGAGAACATCTGATGACTCTTTGATAGTTAAAATGGATTGCAGTATATGGTAAGTAAAGCGATCCTTTTAATAGCACAGTAAGGCAAATATACCTAAAATCCAAAAGGACGACAACCCAGCTCCAATTATTGTATCAGTTTCGCTCATATTTAAGATAGGTACGACTCCAAGGTAGGAAACAATTTGTCCTCCGAACATGTATTTGATTCAGAGATAAAGTGGAGTGTAATTGTACTACGTTAGAATCCATGTGTATCAAGATTTTAACATAAAATGGCAAACATAAGTTCTCATTCAAATAAAATAAAAATTAGGGAAAGGAAACTCTATAGAAAAAAGGTGGCAACAAATGATGCATTTTCATAAGTCTGGCCTGATTAGGTGACAATTCTCTCACAAGTTCAACTCCGAAAACCAATAAATCATGAAAAGCCTAGGACAAAGTCCAGAATTTTCCATGTACGAATACTCTCCAATTCGTCCTGGGGCTCAATTGGTATACATCCTGCTTTAATTGTTTTTTAAAAAGGTCAGTCCAAATAGACAGGGACAGAAAATAAACACTGATGCAAAATAATTTACCACCAATTTGTTTATGGCTCCATTTTCTACAATCTTGGGGAATAATTACGTCCCATCATTATAACATTGAGTTTTTTCCACATAAAACTAATAGAAATATGCTAAATAGGTTGCAAGATTATATATGAAGCAACTGACGCAGGAAGTGAACATGTTAGGAAATATTAAAGTAAAATGAATATTCCTCATTCAATTCATTTATATTCTACCTTCACCTCATAACTTTCACAAGTTTACTTGTACTAGAGATTTAGGATAAGGTAGCAAGGTTATTACGTCATCTGATGCTACTCAAGTCTAAGCTCATCATAACCTTCCATCCTGTGATCAATATTCTAAGAGTTTATGCAAAAAAAATGGAAAACTTCGTCAAAGCAGGATACAACTTATCATTCACTCCTTTAAATGCTGTATCTTCTAAGAGAAGGTACTAATATGATACCGGTGGAGAAATCATTACGAAAATATTGCCAGTAATCTTCTCATGAGATAATCTGGTAAAGAACGACAGGACGAAATCCTTGGACTAACCAATCGAGAACAGTAGGGTAGCATACTAATCGTGCCAATTTTCTCCGAATACACAAAATTTAACGTTAGGTGGAGCTAATCGTGCCTTGGAAACACACTAACGGCATCATCCATGCATGAGGTTCTACAAATAAACAATGCATCAAACACGACGAATTGGAGGATTAATGTTTCATTTTCGGGGAGGAAATCAGAAAGCCCGAAACCAAATTCCATCAAAAATAAGAGGAAGGACGCGTAGAGCGGCGGGGAGGGGGGGAAAAAGCTAGCGGCCAGGGACCTCACCACCAGGAGTAATAGACCCTCCGATCGACCTCGAGTGCGAGGAGGAGCGTGAACGACAAGAGCAACGCGTGAGCCGCGACCGCCTGCCCGGCACTGGCGACCCTCGTCCAGCTCATCGCTCCGTGGAGACCTCCACCAGTGCTCACCGCCGCCGCCGCCGCCACCCCAGCCCCCACCACCGCCACCACAACCAGAACCCGCCCAAATCTGGCAATTAGCCCTTCGTTCCCGCTGCTTCCTTCCCACACACGCAAACCCCTACCTCCTCCGAGGTACGTAGGCGGAGGCAGGCCCCCTCCCCATTCCGTCGATGCTTCCCTCCCCTGTTCCTTGTACTGCCCCGGAACTTTAAACGTTATTTTAAGCCCGAACAGATATTTTCTCACTCTACTGCGTACATCTTCCTCCTCCCTCTCTCTCCCCCTCTCTTTCTTCCTATTTTCTGTCTCTCTCTAAACCTGGACTCTCTTTCTACCCTTCTCTCTCTCTCTCACTCTCTCTCTATCTATCTATCTATCTATCTATCTATCTATCTTTCGCTCTCACGACGACAAGGAGATTTTCCTTCCCTCTGCAAACTTGATCTTCACGACAGAAGGGGGCGGCCCGATCTTGGGGGCCGCGTGGTGGCAGCATTCCAATGATCCGCGAAGCATTCACGATACCGCTATCCTTTCTACGTGGCTTCAATTCTACTACGGCCCCACCCGCGAAACGCCCCGCGCTCTCTGTCGGGCGCCCGAGTATCAGACCGCACCAGAGCGGGCTAGCGCTAACCGCAACCGTTGACTCCATCTCCAATCATAACATTTGATCCTACCGCACGTTATTTATCATCTGGGCCCAGACGGTTTGAATCCTTTGTATAATCCTTGAATAATATTTAATCCTCCAGATAATTAAAATATTATTATAAAATGCAATAAAATGTGAATATAATATTATATATGAACTTTCTTATTTTTGTGTATATTACATACTTAATGGTCTAGTAGACTCCTTGCTTCATATAATTAGTTATCAATATTACATAATTAATTATGTATATATTTTTGAAAATATTAAGGTTAACGGGTTTTAAGAATAATTTTTAATAATATACAAGTGTTAGATATTTTTAAGTCATCGGATATTATTAATAGTATAAACAAATATTCAATTAATACCTACACATGTATGCATCTATAAAAAAGTTTTCAAAAAGATTAATAATAATATATTCTCGCTTAACACAATCTCTAATTAAGTTATGTTTAATTTTTATATACTTATTACTGGATTTAATGATTGGGTTTTTACCAAGATTAATGACATTAATGTTGTCACATAGAATGAGGTTTCTATCAATGTTAATTATGTATTTTTCATGTTGAGAATTTGTCCATAATGCGTAAGCACAATAATTACTTACCTAAACACATTCAGCATCAATATTTGATAAGACAATAGAGTTTTGTTTTTCGAAAACCCAAGACACCTTGCATCTTCCATGCTCTACTAGTAATCTATTTATGAATTTGACTTCTCACAAAGTTATAATCATAATATGAAATCAAGTTTTAATTCACAATCTTTTGGATACGAAATCCCTAATGGTTTAGTGTGTGATAGATATTTTTTAAAAAAATTACTATATTTAAATGTGATTCTTTACAATTACTTTTAAATCTTACATGTAAAATATATTAAATAAGATGTCATGTGGAGTAGTAGTTGGACATAATAAAGAGACTATTGTGCCTCTATATTATGTTCTATCAGCCTCTTTTCCTTTTTTATCAAAATCTCGTTTAGAATTAGGTCTCATGGGTATTTTTGTTGATTATAATCCTTCTATCTTAAACTTCTTAAGTAATTATTTAGTGTATTTTCTTGAAGGATAATTATTTTATTTTTATTTAGTTTATTTAGTTTTTGAAAGGATGTTAAGTTTGTCATCATGCTGATTTCAATTTTTTTCTTTAGAGAATTCACACATGCTTTCATCTATAATTTATTCAATGATCAACACATTTTTACTAGATGTTGATTGACCAAACTTTCATCTTTTACTAGATATCACTTTATGAAAAAGTCTAAATAATAGATTCTAAGTAATTTGTTGGTACCTTTACGTGTGTCTGTGAGAGAGAGCGCAAATTGCACTATGAGTAGGTTGCGAGGTTCATTTTCAAGATTCGGTCCACCAAAAACTCCGTTAGATCCTCTTGTTCCCTCACTTTGTTCTTTAAGCAGATTTGATCGCCCATTCATCCCTGTAGCCCCCCTACGATTCTACCTTTAATCCGCTTCACAACAGTTTTAACCACTACGACCAATCCCTTTGCCGGATCCGACTTTCCTTGGCTAAAAAAAAGGATGTGAGTGGCCCCCGTAGATGGCAAAGTGGTGAGAGAATTAGATTCTGGGGCTGCTGTGTTGTGGGTCCGATTGAAGCCTACATCTATCCAGCTGTTCATGGTTACTGGCTTGGTCTACGTTGGCTGTATAGGCTTGGTTTTAAGGCTCATCCTGGCTGGACCGGGGAGGGTCCAGCTGGGCTTCTGAGCTGATCCTCAGGTCGGAGGGCCCTTCTGATGCATGGATAACTTGCTCAAGGTGTTCTCAACGTGTATGGGGATCATTTAGGAGGCTGCGTATGTATTAAATTTAATATCCCGTACGTTGTGAGTTGATAATTGGGCGTAGATTCTGTGGGGGCAAGGTGAGTTTCGGCGTGGGAAGATATGGAATGGAACGAGAATCACACACGTCCCATCGTCGGCCGGTTGTTCTCCAAGGACGCGTTCCCACCGCGAACTTTTTTTATGGGCAGGCGTCATGTCTTCCTTGTGGACGGTAAACAACGGAGAGCTGTGGGAGAAGCCACGCCAAATGAGATAGAGACACCGAGGGAGAGGCGGTAGATATATATAGATATATAGATGTCTTGTGAGAGATGCTACACAACATACGCTAGAGGGAGAGGGAGGGAAAGAGAGAGTAGAAGGAAGAGAGTATGATAGAGCCTGCGGCGGAGAGGAGAGATAGGGGGGATAAAGATAGTGACTCTAGAGTTTTTAAATATATTTACCAGCTTTTATCAGCTATAAAAAGTCATTTAGAACGCCAAATTGGATTAACATTCTACTTTTCTTATTCTAACATCCTCTCAGGAAGATTCTTTTTGCAAAAATATGCCTAGATATGTGAAAAATAGATTTACACGTTTAATGAAGTCAATTCGTTATAAAATTTTCTATCATTTTTCTGCTGCGCTCTATAATTTATGTTTTACGTAGAAAAATAGTTTACATGTGTTTTATCCTTTATTTTTTATATAAATCATATTTTATACTACTACATGTAGACTTAAGTATTAGGCAATTTATAGTTGTATACTTAAATAAGCTAGTTAGTTAGTGACATTATGTTAATTTTTAACTAAATCTTACACCTATTATAACATATTATAAAAAATATTACTTCGAGTTTTTCACCATAGATTTTTCACTTTACTTCAAATAAGAGTCACTAAAATTATTATTAAATTAGTAAAAATGTAAAAATAACTAATATTTTGAATGTAAAGTCATCAATTTTACGATTTTAAGCCTTTATTAGTAAATATCTATGTTAGTTATATCACATATTTTGTAAAAGATGGAAGAGAGTATGATTCATTAGGTGATAGGCACAAAATATTTAATTTTCTCTACTTAATCTCAGTTTCTTCTAGGACTAGTAGACAAGTTACTTTGATTACCTATAAATGTTTCCTTTATCCTTAAATTGATCAAATAATAATATATTTGAATATGCTTTTATTTGAGTCTAATCAAGATAATCTGATAATATACCAATGGATATAATCATATATTGTCAATGGCATCATAAGCTCAACAACTTAGCCTACATCAATAAGCCTAGCTTGAAAAAAACTTGAAAATGAGCTCTAGTAAGACGTTTATGAACTTGGAAATAAAAATTACAGAATATTATAAAAATAGATTTTGGATTACTTCAAAATTAAATCCCATAGAATGGGCAATGGGGTGGGAGGGATGATGAGTATGATTGGATATTCAAGATAGCTAGAGGGAGACACCATGCTTGTATTCAAGATAGGCAACTAAACAAGAGGGGGGCTATTTCTTGTCTGAACAAGTAGAAACGAACTTAATAAAAGTTGCTGCTATTGTCTCGTCAAATCAATTGGGTCGTTCCCTATTTTTAGTGAATGGCCAAATCTTTATAAAGAAAACATTGAATGTACTCCCATCCGTTTGTCCTCTCCTATTCCTATGTTTAAAGAGGAAGCGGGGGGAAGTAGCTAAATTGTGGGAGGAGGTGAGAATGTCAGAAGAAGTTCCTTGTTGCTCTCTATCTCTCTCTCTCTCTCTCTCTCTCTCTCTCTCTCTCTCTCTCTCTCTCTCTCTCTCTCTCTCTCTCCTGTTTTTTATTTCAGAGAAGAGAGATTAGTAAGTCTTGAAGGCATTACTTCTATTTTGCTCAGCGGATGAGGCCTCATTCAGAACTGTGAGGTTATTTTTTTCAGCACACCACCTTAAAGAGGAAAACTTATTCAGCAACAAAAGAGATCCAATCTGTCTTGTAAGGTTTTCCTTTTTGCTATTCTTCCTCTTAAAGAAATCTCTCTAGCTCTCTACATGGAGATGGACTTATCCTAATCATGAAAATCTTGGTGCATTGCTTCCTAGTGAGAAGGATGAGGATGAAGAAATAAAAAGATGTTAATGATAATTATGATGATCGAGAGGAAGGAGACAAGAAAAATGATAGAAGAGGAGTATTGATGCTAGAGCACATAGTCATCAGAAAGAACGAGACTGTCCATGACCTCCACCACCACCAACACCACCAACACCACCTCCACATCCTTAGTGGCTTCATGATCTCGTTCAGGCACTCTCTCTTCCCAGCTGTCCCCGACAATACCTCGAGTGACTCCATGTCATTCTTGTTGTGCCCAGCCAGCTCATTCAGAGTCTCAATGATCCACTCTCTCTACCAAGTTCCTCACGTGTTGATAGAGATGAAGGACCACCCCATTTACAAGGTGTTGGGCGATGATAAATAAATATGCCACCAGCCTCATTCTTACATGATCTCACTGTTCACCCTTTCAGATAGACTATCTTCACCTTTCAGCCAAGACCCTTCAGATTTGTCTGAAAGAGATTTTAGAGTCTCTCGCTACATCATGAGAGCTGCCAAAGTACTGCCGTAATCTGGGTTGACTTGAAGTTCAACATCTTCTTCCCCTCCATGGCCATGTTTGTTATTTGTGATTGCCCAAAAATTATGTAATGGGCAAAACTAAAGGGCCCAAATAGCTGAAAAACTAAGTGTCTTTTTCCCTCCCCTTTTAACGAAGCAAGAGTAAAATCATGCACTCATGCATCGAATTTGTGCTTATTCTATATGCATATTCATTAATTATTAGTGCATGTTATCATGTTACCTAATCACATTTATGCATTTTGTGTACATTGATATAATTTATTAATTGCACACTTTTTATGAGCTTAGTTGATTATGAATTAATTTTGTTTGACTTCTGTGAAGTTAAGCAGATTATTTCTTATAATTTTCGTGAGTTTTTATGACATACATAGATAGAGATGGTGACAGATTTGGTAAAATTTGCCTCTTCTAGAAGGATCATCTATGAAGCGAGTAAAAGAAGCTGACATAGATGTTATGGATCTCATTTTTCAGATTTACAATGACTCCCTCTTCATACAATACAGCATAATTTTTTTTATGTTTTTTCCTCTTGTATGCCTTAGATCTGGGACACATTTCCATAAAGGAGCCGAATGAAACGAAAATTGTGGCCTTTCTCCACCATCCATTTCGGGCCATTTTAGAATAGGCAATGAGCCCATTGAATGAGCCCATTGAATGGATCAATGGAAGCCTTAAGGACGGACATAGTCAACTAGTGATCTACTTTTTATGGAGGATAGTTTCCAAATCCAAAAATGAAGGAAAGAGGAGGGGAACAACATGGTGGCTCTCAAAGAAAATTCAGCCACACTTAAGGCCATTTTGGGTGCCCAAAATGCCTTATAAATCATGGCCTTCTCCTTCTCTTCTCTCTCATTATTGCAGTTTCCCTAGAACCTATTTGGCTGAGTACAACAGCCTCAAATCCATCTTGTCCTCCTTATTTTTAATGAATGAAGCCTATGTATTTTTTCATCTTCAATCTATGAGAGTATGAGAGTGATTGTATGTGTAAGTTGTTGGAGCATTTAAGTTGGAAGGAAATTGTTAAAGGGGTAGTGAAGGTGATAATAGGAGGTGGCACAGCATCACCTCCCCCCTCTTGATGTTGATTTTGATAAGTTGTCTCATTTTTTTTATTATATTTAGAACAAAGAAGGTTAGTGATAAGTTTTCATTATCATGAGTTAATAATTAATTAATAATATAATTTTAATCTTAACTCATGATAAATAGACTTATATTTATATTAAATTGTGAAAAATAATTTTTAGTTAGTTAATGTGAATTTTGACTAATTATGTGATTTTATACAAATATTAACATAAGTTATTATACACTTATATTTCAAGAATGTTATGATATATTACTTCAATATAAAAAGATATCTCAAGGATATGACTTCGTAAATCAGTTGTTAGTCGTAAAATCATATAAAAAATTATTGATATGTATAATTTAAATATTTTTTAATGATATTTTACTTGTGATCCAAACAATCATAATGTGTCTTAATGATTCGATGAATTATTCAATAACTCACTCAAAAATAATTCATAACTAAATTTTTTCTCTATGTCAAAACCAGAGACATTTACAATTACATCTATTGGTCCGTTGAAGGTCACTAGTGGTAGCAACATCTAGAATGAGAAAACATTGTTCCACTGCACTAGTGATAGCATCCATGTGCATAGATGCTGCAGTAATTTTGTGAAAAAGATACTTGATGAAAACTAATGTTAGACATGCCTATTTGGCCTACAAGGGCATGTTATTCAAGTGATAGTCATGAAGATGCCCATTGAACAAGAATTTTGTGCCTCAATCTTTACCATCTTATGTTATCTCAAGGGGTAACCCTCCATAAGAATTGTGACGCAAGGGTGATCACCAGAACTGAATGCTTAAGAAATTAGGCAATCCAAGACGTCAATGTTTACCAATAATAATTAGTTTTCAGAGCTATATTTATCTGATTATTTTTCTAGTGTTTATTTGATAGCTGCATGGCTTATCTAATTGATTTTAGATGCTGTGTGAGACAATATTCATTTTACTGAAAGATATATGTGAATACTAAGGATGTAACTCATCCATTTATGAATTCAACTAACTAGCCAAAGCATCTGATGAATGAAAAAAATCCACACTATCTCAGGTTTTCTATTGCTTTCTCCTTAATTACTAACCATTTGAGTAAATGTTTTTATTTTTTTCAGATCCGCCCTCTGCGTCTTGGGATGAGCAGCATCAAATACTTCCGAGTTGTGATTCTCTCCTTGCTCGCAAAACCTGTCCTTGGCCAAACAGCCTCTTCCACCTCTTCTAAGCGGCCCAGGTCTACATTGAGGCTGCCTTACTACCGTGGGAGATTTTGGTATGAACATTGCTAAGTTTATTGACTCCCTCATCGTTTTTTTTCTATCTGTTCGATCATGACCTCATAAAGTATGAAATTCGGTGCCCTTGGATGTACGTATCATCCATCTTTTGCTGATGTCCACTGGATCCTTCTGAACTTCGAAGGGGCATCAAGTGTCACACTCGTTCGGCAGGTCATTCCTTATCCTTGGGTCAATGCTGCCACAGAGTGATCCTCCAACAGTTGTGAACACTAGATCTGATGATCTGCAAGGAGGTTACTCTGAGAGTGGTAACATCTTAAGAAAAAAATTGTCAGATTTCGTTTCGGGACATTTTCATTTGCCATTTTTCTTGTAATGTTCCTGAGTTTTCTTTAAACTCCCAAGACCCACTCAATTGACTCTGATTTTAAGCCCTGCTTGCTTTTGAAAGCTCATTCTCCGGACCTAACTTAGCAGAGATTTAGAGGATAATAAGGCCAGTCAAGATTATAAGTGCTGCAAAAAGGAAAAGTTTGGAACCTATTTCACCTTCAGCACGTTTGTTTCGACATAAAACAGTGAGTAATTGTCTGGCATTCTTATGGAAAAGCAGATGATTCAAGCCAGGATTGCTCTAAATGGCGTTTTGCAACATGAAAAAAAACATTCTGATACATTAAAGCCCTCTTGTTCACAGACTGGAACTGGAACCACAACCTCTCATACTCTAAATGGACCGCACTTCAGAGCTAGCGTTGGCAGCCGAAAAAATCAGATCATAGAGATGGCTGCTTAGCATACTGATTGTTCATAAACAACTATTCGAGCACCGAAATCGGGCTCACGCTCGAATAATCTCTCTCTCTCTCTCTTTCTCTCTCTTTGAATGGCAGATCTTCTCATATGCAGGCAGCTCGGTCCGGCCAATTTCTTCACCAAGAATTCCGGCGGCGAAGTCCTCGAAGCACTCCTCCATAGTCCGGAAAGTGACGCCTGGGTACAGTTCAGTGACCTCGAGATCCTGCCGGCCATCGATGGAGAAGTTCTGCTGACACCCCTTGAAGAACACGTCGTGCGTGAACGAGGCCACGAAGCTCTCTGGGATCCGATTTTCTATGAACAGATCAAATGATGAGGATAGTCTGAGTTTCAAGACAGATTAAACTCCCTTTTTCGCCCATGGCCAAATGGCTTTCAGTCAGACATCGAAAGAAGAAGTTCCTACTAACCGGCGGCGGCGGCGAGCAGCGCCGCCTCAGAGACAGCAATTCTGGGCAGAGATCTCCCGATCTTATTCTCCCACAGGGTCGCGAGCTCATTCATGGAGAGGAAGTTGCAGGGCGGCCGGAAATGGACAGTCTTGTTAATGGTGCGGTCATCGTGTGCCGCCATGATCGCAAACTTGCCGATGTCACAGCAGGCCACGAAGTATGCTGCAGAGGAACTCCATTTAGCTCTCAGAACGGAATATCTTAGTTTGTCACTCTCACATCATTATAATACAAAACTTAGCCACCATACCAAAGTTCTAAACTACGTCACATTCGATCAACGTAGGTTTAGATATACGCCAAGGTTTGATATTATGGGGAGAGAAGCTGCAGCAAAGCTTCGGAGATTTCGGATCAGACCCAGGTGGTCTAAATGGAGAACGGGCCAGGCCTTGGATAGCTCTTCCCGGGGATTCTTATTCCTAGAGAAAATTGGCCAATTTTGGTTCGTTGAAACTCTTAACCATAGTTTAATGTCTCACTATGTAAATCTAACTGAGATTAAAGTGGGTAAGCTGATAACGCTGTAGGACCTACCTTTCATGTTGCCGTCGCCGTAGATGGAGAACTTCTCCAGCGGCGGGACGGCCTCACAGTGGTCGTACTGTTCGTAATACGGCCAGCCGGCGATCGAGTTGCAGCAGATGTAGGTGAAGGGTACGCCGGCGGCCTCCACCGCCCGCCGGACCTTCCTCTTCTCCTCGTACACTCGAAGGCCGGGTTCTACCGGGTTTGCCCGGTCAACGTCGTTTCCGAATTCCGAGGGTAGAAACCTCTGCCAGAGAAGGAAGGACCCTGTCTTTGCTTAGTAACACGGCCGTCATTAGGCTGCATAAACATAAATTGACGACTATTTGGACTTTTACTCAACGCTCTAAACAACAAGTTACGTCTTGTGCAACTTTTCTGGAGAGAGAGATAGATAGAGAGAGAGAGAGAGAGATGATTAAAATGCGGATGGGGGAGGGTGATATTCTAAAAGCTAAGATTGTCCACTGACAGAATCCCATAGAGATTGTTGTCGGTTAAAATACACAATCAGAAAAGCTTGGAAAATAGGATGCGCCCTGCCGAAAACTCGGTCTTACCTTGACAGTTCCGGCAGCTTTGATGGCTTCGATCAGGGGGAGCTGGTCGAGAAGGTTTCGTCCTCCTAGTACAGAAATGACCACCTCGATATTCAGTTCTTTGAGCTTCTTCTCGATGAAATCCTTATCGTTTGCATAACCCTGAAGCATAGAAAACAAACGGGAGAATGAGTCTCGAATCATAAATCTTAGAGAGAGAAAGAGAGACCATATTAATACCATCGAACTCGAATTTTTCCATGATGGATGGTGTCGTAAGATATTACCATTTCTAGGTCTGGGCCTAAAAACCATGCCCACTCTGGGTAAAAATTAGACGAGCTTGAGTCAAGAATCTTACATCACCCTATCATTCAACATCTCTCTCTCTCTCCCTCTCGCTCTCTCTCTTCGCTCTCGTTCTCTCGCTCTCTCTCTCTCTCTCTCTCTCTCTCTCTCTCTCTCCCTCTCTCTCTCTCTCGCTCTCTCTCTCTCTCTCTCTCTCTCTCCTCTCTCTCCTCTCTCCCTCTCTCCTCTCTCTCTCCTCTCTCCCTCTCTCTCTCTCTCTCTCTCTCTCTCTCTCCCTCCCTCTCTCTCTCTCTCTCTCTCTCTCTCTCTCTCTCTCTCTCTCTCTCTCTCTCTCTCTCTCTCTCTCTCTCTCCCTCTCTCTCTCTCTCTCTCTCTCTCTCTCTCTCTCTCTCTCTCTCTCCAGGCAACCCGCAAGAACGAAAGAATGAAACATCAGATGAGTCTCACCTCAATAACGACGGCACCTTTCTGCTGTAGAGAACGTATCACCGCCTCCTTGGAGGGCGCAGCCGCACTTGCCCCGGGACGGCGTAGCACGTAGGTGGGCACTCCCCGGGCGATGGACGCTTCTGCCACAAACTTTCCGATGAACCCCGTCGCCCCAGCAATGAGAGTGGCGGCGCCGCCGATCGTCGCCGCCGGAGCGACATCGAATGAAACCGCGGCCTCACCCATCTTCTCGTCTGTCTCCCGGAAGTTTCTCCTCACTCATGCACACGACTACTGGGTTCGTCACCACGAGGCTCTTAAATACGCCTCCCGGCAAGCTCGGACGGGCAGATGCCGCCGGTCGGGGACGGGTAGATGAGGAAGGCTAGTAGTTGCTTTCACCGCCTAATGTTTGGTCTGCATAGCAAGGAATGACCAGTAAGACCTGCCAAGAAAGTTACACATTTAAGTGAGGGATAGTTCGGAAACGACTCAAGGAGGATTGAAGAAAGTTGAATAACCAGAGTCTTTTGACGCAATGATCTCCTCTGCCTCAAAATATGAGTCACTGTGACCCAAAAAAGAAGTGAGTAATAAAAATTATATGATAATTAGGTTGCCGGAATTTCCTTAAGACTTCCTGTTCTTAGGTTCAACCGAAAAATGCTGATAACCAGTTAAAGCACCAATCGACTACTTTGAGATTATTTCACAGGAACCTTAAAACACGTCGAACCTTTACCAAATCTTTATAGAAATGGTAACGATATTGAAATATGAAATAATAATGCTTATTAAGTCTCCATGAGAAATAGACTGTACGGATGGCAGGTTCCAGTGTCTCTGAAAGTGTCAAAAAGGGAAAGAAAATAAAAAACCCAGTCTAGAACTGCCTCTAAGACATTTTAGATGAAAGAATCTATCCCACATCACTCATTGCTAATGCTACGAATCGCAATCCAATCAGAAGTGGGATCACCATAATCAACAAAAACTATTATTCTCGCCCAATTCAGAATCTCTCTCTATTCATGTATCAGGTCTATTCCTGAGATCAAACCTTTGGCAACCAATCTCTATGAAGTTATTTTCATCTCTTCTTAATAAGTACCTCATTTCTAGCTTGTTTTCATTAATTTAATTACATTCTTATTTACTTCACATACAGTCAAGCTATAGCAAACCCAAACGCATGCATGTTCATCATATATTTTGCATTTATTTATTCTTCCAGCATAGATACTAAGCTGACATTTATTTTTTTAATATTTTCCACTTTTTATGAATTTATTGAAAAATAAAAAAGGGAACATTCAATGGTTCGAGTGGTTAAGATATAAGAGAAAATAGAACATTCCTCATATTTGGAGCTGTTTTAACATCTTCTTAATGTGATCTGCAAAATTTTAATGCTTCAATTTCCTAAGCTAGCCAAGGCATTTTATTGGAGGACTTCACGGGGAAGATGCCACATAGATAAATGTTAGTGATATCGGATGATGCATGTGATGCTAGTTTTTAGATATTAAAGACATTATTTAGTTACTTTTAATTTAAAAATAGTTTATTCCACTCCTATTATTAAATAGCAGCAGGATGGGATTGGTGAATCCTACTACAAGACTAAGAGCTTGAAGCACACTCCATGTATGGGTGGGTATCCGTGGACCATATATTTTAAATTAATGACCATTTTAATTAGAGAGTTCAGTTTCAATTGATATTTGAAAAGAAAGAATAAAGGGTAAGATGCCATCATAAATAAATTTCTAAGGAACTGGATGATCCGTTAAGTCCTATTTTTTTGTTCCCACTTGCTAATTGTGTACCTTGAAATGGATATCAAAGGGTATGAGCATACCCTCCTAACACAGCAGAAACTAATGTAAACATAATATATATAGAAGAGAGAGCTAAGGGACCCACTATATTTTATGTGGTTTGGAGAATATTCCTATGACAATAGTCTCACAAGTTTATTCTTCCATCATAAAGGAAAACTTTGTAATATAATCATGCAAAAATACTAAATTATTTCATAATATAATTATTAAGTAAACATTTTTTCCCAATTTAAGTATAAGAAGCCAGAAAATAATCGATTGGCTAGAGTTCCCAACTTCACCGATAACTACTTGAAGATTAGCATGCTGTGTACGAGACGTGAGAATTTGGAGGCCAATTCATCATCCATCGGCAAGTGAGTGTAGCATGTAAATATCTATGCCTTGGAAGAATAATCAGATAGGTTGTATCAATGGGTCCACTAAGCCCGAAGCCCAGTGCAGTCTTAGTGTCCAAAGATCCGAAAAGAAAGGGGCAATATATTCCTCTCTCTCTCTCTCTCTCTCAACTTGTCATCCTCCGAGGCCTCACTTCGCTACGTCTGTCTACTTGTCACGCTCTCTCTCTCTCTCTCTCTCTCTCCCTCTCTGTAAAACGGTTGAGGATAGACATCAGAGATAAAGAGAGGATCTTCGGGGGAATACAGAAAAACCGAAGGAAGAAGATGGAGCCTAAAGGAGCGGCTATGGCGGCAGCGGCGCTGCCGAGGGAGTTTGGCTACGTGGCCGTGGTCGTCGTCCTCTACTCCCTCCTCAACTTCTGGATGGCGGCCCAGGTCATCCGAGCTCGCAAAAGGTAACTCCTCTCTCTCTCTCTCTCTCTCTCTCTCTCGCTCTGTAGTTCTCTGCTTCTCTGGCCTCTCTCTCCCTGATCCGATCAACCGGCAGGTACAAGGTCTCCTACCCCGCCCTGTACGCGCTCGAATCAGAGAACAAGGACGCCATGCTCTTCAACTGCATCCAGGTCCCATAATCTCTGTGGCCACTAGTTTCCTAGCTTCTGGGAGATGAGATACTGACGGCGCTTTCCTCTTTTGTATGGCGGCGGCTGTCAGAGAGGGCATCAGAACTCGCTGGAACTGATGCCTCTCTTCTTCGTCACCCTCCTCCTCGGCGGAATCCAACACCCCGTCCTGGCGGCGGCGCTAGGAGCCCTCTACACCGTCTCCCGGTTCTTCTACTTCAGGGGCTACTCTACCGGCATCCCAGAGAATCGCAACAAGCTCGGGTAAGAGAGAGTAAGAGAGAGAGAGAGAGAGAGAGAGAGAGAGAGGAGGGAAACCCTAATTCTAGCTGCTGCTAACTGGCGGCGCGGCCTTCTGCAGGGGGTTCTACTTCCTGGCGCTGGTGGGTCTCATCCTCTGCACCGCCTCTCTGGGGATCCGCCTCCTCATCCGCGGGGTTCTGTAGCGCCGCCGCCTTCTGGGCTTTGCTGTTTCTCTCTCTCTCTCTCTCTCTCCCTCTCTCTCTCTCCTGCGAGTCCTTGTAGTTTCTGTAACCTCGTCAATACGAAGAACTTTGTTTCCCTGAATAAGCGGGCGAGATCGCCGGAGATGTAAAGTACAGCTTGAGATCACGCCGCCGGCGACGGCGGAGACCGTCGTCTTCTCCGGCGCTGGCGAAACACCGCTCCTGCCTCCGTGGTTCACCGGAGCGCCGTCGGCCGCCGCTGATTCCGGTCGCCGACGGAGGCCGCCGGTCGCTTCCACAGGTGCTCGCCGGAAGGCTCCTCCGGCTCCTCGCTGGGGCGTTCGTGGCTGCATTTCAGGCAGATCTTGTTCCTCCGGTAGTTCAGGAAGTCGCACCTACAAAGGCATGCTGCGTCAGCCATCTCTCCGCCATGAAGACCAGTAAGAGGAGGATCCAGGAGGAGGAAGAAGAAGAAGAGGGCTCACGAGGGACACTCCCACTCGCCGGGATTGAGCTCCCTTTGTGGCCGCCGCTCCTGGCAGCGCCGGCATTCTCTGTTCCGGGCGAAGTTCATGAACTGGCACCTGCGCACGGATCAACAATAATCAGATGCTACCTGTAAAAACCCTGGGACTAGAAGAAGATGAAGATGAAGATGAAGAACCCTAGAGGTAGAAGAAGAAGAGAGAAGGAAAAGAGAAGTGGATGAGGGGAACAGGAGAGATTACTCTGGGCAAGTCCAGTCGCCCTTCTTCATCTCAACTTCGCCAAAGTCAACCCTCTTGGGGCCGTCGAAGCCGCATTCCATGCACCGCAGGTTCCGGGAGAAGTTCAGGAAATTGCACCTGCGATGAGATAGATCAGGTCAACCTCTAATTCCGAAAGTGGAAAATACTAAAATATCTAGTTCTTCATTCATTCATCCGAAATGGGTAGAAGATTCTAGCTCCAAAATCAGATTTTTTTCTCCAAACCCCCCCCCCCCCCCCCCCACACACACACACTTCTACCACAAAAAAAAAGTAATCAAGATCATGCTCAAATTCATGGATGGACCAGAAATGATTCCGATATCATTTTTTGGTGGGAAAAAAAAGCATGGATTTCTGGTTAAATACAACCCGAATCAGCTAATTTTAGGATATCTGGCAGAAATAAATTAAGAAATCAATTCTGAGCAATCAAAGCGTTCCAAATATTCCCAACAACAAGAACAAAACAGCCATCTGGGTTGGGATCATCTGATTCTGGACAAGCCCACCATTAATCCACCTCAATTAGGGACAATTATGGAGCAACTGTAAGAGATTTTAGGTATATTACTGAAGATATGCTGATGTCTGAAAAAAGGTGGAAAAATAAACACATCGGGATATGATCGAATCCGCGCTGTTGTCTTATATGCTTGCAATTATAGAAAACAAAATCATGAAGCAAAAAACATGGGTACATGTTTAACTTGTTTTATTCCTTTTTAGCTCATAAACATTTGAATAAAAAATATTACTTTCCAAAGAAATTAAAGATTAGGAAGAAAAGGCACCCCCCCCCCCCCGCGTTGTGTAAATTTAGGTAAATAAAATCCATGCAACAATTCAAAGGTCCCGTCTGGATCAGAAATTCAATAAACTTATGGTATTTAAGGATTTTTAATAAGGTGATATGACTAAACTGCAACAATATCCACAGCATGGAGGTAAGCAAAAATAAATAAATAAAGCGTCTGAAACTGTACGCATTTAGATAAAATCATATTATCCCCCAAATAGTAAATATCTCAGCCTCAAATACGATTTTCCAATTTCTTCATAAATTATTTCGCCCTTTCTGCCCATCCGGATTCACTCACCTACTCACCAACTCGACTGAATAAGAAATTAAGAGAAAAATAAATTAAGAGATCTCTGGAAGAAATGTACTTTGAGCACACCCAGTCCCCCCTCTTCATCTCCACGTTCTGAGAGCGAGCATTCTCCGAAGCCTTTGACCTTCGTGGCTGCTCCTTCTGGGATGGGCGCTTCCTCGTGGCTTCCCTGAGAGCTGGGTCAACGGGTGTGTCACTCAATTTACTCAACTTGGAGAGGAGGCTGCGGATGGACCCTTCAAGATGGCCCCTTCGTGAGGCCTCGAATCTTGAGAGGAGGCTTGGATCTGCTGCATAGCATAGTATGATGCGCACAATGTCCACAGTCCTGGCTCCTTCTTCATCCTTGAGCACAAGATTGGCTCTGTCGCAGGAGCCCCGCAGGCTGCAGCCACCACAGACCTGAAAGTGGAAAGAGTTTCAATCCAGATTATCTTGACACCAATGAAAAACAATGACTCTCTCTCTCTCTCTCTCTCTCTGTGAGCCCTGTAGGCTGCAGACACCAGACCTATGGAAAAAAGAACCTTTCTTTCTCTCTATTCCATCAGCTCCGTAGGCTTCATCCACCACAGACCTCAAAGGTGAAAAACTTTCGACCATTGGAAAACAGAAACCTGACCTTTATAAATATCTTTCTCTCAATCTCATCTCTCTCCCTGTGACATGGTGTCTGGGTTTCAAAGTCTTGACCAATTCTTCCGGTATCATAATTGAGTTTATCATCTCTCTCTCTGTCTCTGTCTCTGTCTCTGCCTCTCTCTCTCTCTCCCCCTCTTTCTCACACACGCGGCCCTTTAGGTTGCAGGCACCACAGATCTGTAAGAAGGAAACTTTCAAACCCATATTGCCTCCTATTGAAAAAACTCCAACCTTCATCAACATCTCTCTCTCTCTCTCTCTTTTTGATGGTAGGAGTGTTATGAAGAAAAAAATAGCACTTACATCACTTTCATTGAGCATAAGGTAGGCTCTGAGTCTCTTTCCCGAATTAGTGGGTTTCCTGTGAATACTGGGGCACCCACACTCCACAATGGCCTGGATATCTTCTACCGGAAGAGACCTGCAATCGAAAGTGTTTAGAAACAAATTATAGCACTGGTTCATGATTTTGCATGGGTAGAAAATTTCCTTTTCCGAGTTAATATATATATATATATGTATGTATGTATGTATGTGTGTACAAAAAAGATTATTTAGCTCTTACTTTCCAACCAAAAAAAACTTAAATAAAAATTAGTAGGGGAAACACGCCAATCTTCTTCTTGCTACTGGTAGCCAGAGACCTGAAGTAGATCAAGGATACTCCCTGATAAGAATTATATGAATAAGACATGACTTCAGGCAGTGGAGAGATCTAAATTTAAATAATAATTCAAAAATAAAAAATTCCCCCATCCCAAGAACACGACGTGAATGCGCTGAATAAGTAAATATTTTTTTTCCATTCTCCTTCCTTAAAATGAGCATGAACAACTCCTCGCCTCCTCAGAGTCCTCATGGTCCCTTGGATGAAGATTTATTTATAGAATATAATCCATTTTTTTAGCTGATTTATGAGAAGAATCTTCAGCTGATTGAACATTTCTAAATGAAACCCTTGGAAGGGATCTTTGCCCCTTCAATGAGCAGCTATTTCTACTCAAGAATGCAACCATCATATTGCTAACGGAATTTTGAAAGTCAACGTCACGGGCAGGGTATGCCATGATCAATCCAGGGATGATTTCCTGTCTTTTCTATAGAACAACAAGATTCTGCAGCATCCATCATGGAAATGGTTATCACCAGGCTAAAATAATCAGGTTTAAGATGTGGGTCGAGCATTTCCTGGGTCAACGACCTTCCAAATATCTCAAATTGCAGCCATACGTTGATTGTCTTGCAGTTGACCATCATCAACAAGGGTTCAAAAACATACAACCAACCAAGGCATTCTAAAAATGGCGAGAGCCCACAGTAAATTTCGTCATCCAAAGTACGTAGTTCTTGCCCAGGATCGGTCAGAATCATCCATTCCGCCCACCCCCAGATGAATCTCACTGATGAATCGATCGAAGAGAAAGCAAGGGGAATTCGGAACTCAGAATCAGGGTAGGAAGGAAGAAGGACGGAGTGAAACCTGAGAAGGTCGAATCGTTCCCGGGCGAAGGTGAGGCAGGCGATCTTCACCCGATTGAAGTCTGCAGAAGCGGAGTTTACGGCGGCGCCACCGCCACCACTGCCCCCTCCTTCGTCCACCTCTTCATTCCCGGAGATGGCCCCATCGAAGTGGCCCTTGGTCTTCAGCATCTCCAGGAAGGTCTCCCACTCGGGCCACTGGTGCGGCACGGGATCTCCCGCAGGCTCCGCTGGTTCAGCACCTTCGTCGAGGCCCGCCGGCGGGGAGCTGGTGTTGTAGAGCTCGAACCGGGAACAGGCGGTGGCGACGGCCGAGCTGGAGCTCGGGATGGCGGGGAAGCGAGGTCGACGCCTAAAAACCTTGCCGGCGGCGGCAGCGCCGCCGAGAAAGAGCGTTCTCCTGGGGAGAAGGGGAGAGTCGAAGGCCGCGGAGGAGAACGCCTTCACGTAGAAGGACCGGAAGACGAGAGCGGAGGAAGAACAGGGGGAGCTAAGCCGCAGCAGTATGGGCACGGCCATGGCGGCACGGAAGGGAGCGTCTGACCAGTCACTCCTCCCGGCGGCAGCGGCGGCGGAGGAGATGGCGGCAGTAGCAGTGCCTTGGGCAGAGCCGCGGGCAGGGATATAGCAGCGGGGTTTTACGGAGGGCGTCCGCTGGGCACCGCCCTGACCTCAGCGGCTCATCCCCTCCCGGACGGGAAGGAAAAAAAAGACCGACCCGGGTCATCATATCGAACCGGGTTGAACCGCTTAAGCTTACCACCTCTCTCTCTCCCTCCCTCTCAGAGCTGCATTTGTGGGGCAACCCAGAAGCCCATTTTTCCGATTGGACCATATGCCACTATTGGGCTACTCTGGCCCTCTCTAACCTTCACCTTCACTCACTACTCAATTTAGAGAGAGAGAGAGAGAGAGAGAGAGAGTGACAAGGATGGGTCATCGCATCAATTCGGGGTTGAACCGCTTAAGCTTACTACCTCTCTCTCTCTCTCTGTAAATTTCATTTGTGGGGCGACCCAGAAGCCCATTTTCCAATTGGGCCATATACCACCATTTGGTTACTTTGACCTTCTCTAAGCCTTCACCTTCACTCATTTCTCAATTTAGTGAGAGAGAGAGAGAGAGAGAGAGAGAGAGCAAGAAGGGGCTTACCAAGCCCAATAACCAAATTAGATAAGCATTGGAGCGAGGCTGACTTCTCACTCTGGCTATGGTTGACCAGGTTGTCTATGAATTCAAGCCCATCCTACCTAACGGGACAGATTTAATCTCACAATTTTTCTCCTTCTCAGGATTCCTGATCCAATTCTTTTGATGGCAAGCATCATGATGGAGTCTTAGCGAGTTTCATTAGGTGCAATTGTAACGTAGACCTTAAGCAGGCCCACTAGGCCCAACCCCAGGGCACCCTTCCTTTTGCGACACTTTCCCTTCCACGCTGACCTACAAAAAGTCGTCGCATGAAAGTTTACCAAAGCTCCTTGATTTCATCCGTTTTGGCGTAAATATCCACCCCTTCAAGTACATGATCGCTTGGGCCCCACATCTTTAAGGCCATGTCTCATTTCCCATTAAGATTGACTAGGATATATAATTATATATTTTTCAAGGACTTGGGTAATAATTATCCAAACGCAATTCAATCAGGACCGCCAGATGGATGCAGCTTCTGAAGAACATTAATCGTGTGATCATGGAAGCCTCCTAATAAATCAGTCAATGCGGCATTAAAAAGCTGCAAAAATATCTACCATGAAGCGTTCCTGAACCGCCAGAAATGGGAGGATAAGACATCATGAAGGATGCTGAATGTCTATACTTGGAACAATTAATCACCCTGAATGGTTCATAGTAGATGATACTATAAATGTTCCTGATGGAGGATCTGCAGGTGAAGATAGATTCCATGGATGAGCAGAAAGTCCCAAATTATTTGGGTTTAAGTGGAGGAGGACCTCACTGGGCAAGATCAGGATCCCGGCAGCGGCACCGACAACAAGGACTGGATGCCGAACACGATGAAGAGAACCCCACTGGAGAGCGCCACCTGCAGCATCAGGGATCAAGAAAAGAAGGGCATTTGACGGAGTCCAGTGTGCTACTTGGGTGTAATTAAAGGGTGTTTTCGTCATTACCACTCTCTCGGATATCTGGGATGCCAGACTCTTTCCTCCGAACACGGCTGCAGTGGTGCATAGTGCTTGGCCTCTGCGCCCAGACAGAGAAAATCAAACAAAAAGAGATATAGGAGAGAAATTCATGATTATATGATGGGCAGAGGAAATTGTGTGATTTGCAGGCCTAGAAAGATTCTGAATCACATCCTTGTTCTAACCAATGAAAATCTCTTAGGTGGGCGCCGTTGTTTCTTTCTCTAGACTGGGTTGGGAGGGCCAAGCTCAGAAAACCCAAAGCCAGGTTTCATTCAGGGTGGTGCACAGTCTAGAGAGAGAACATGCGACATGAACTTACATGATCCCACCAAGAATGACGCCCAGTGGGTTCTCATCCGCAGCCAGTCCGATTGTAGCTATCTGGAAATGATTAAAGAACAAAAATAAAATGGAATTGAAACCCTCACAGTTGGGAAGATTCGATTCGGTTCATCAGATTACCTGGCTCTTGTCACCCCATTCACCAAAGAAGGTGATTGAAAAGGCCTGAAAAAAGCATGATCCGCACGAAATTAGAGGATAATGAAGCAACTAATTATACGTTGTTCAGGCTGCCTGTGGGCAGGTTTAGCACCTTCAGAAAGATTGGGGAGAAGAACTGCGTGAGGAATGGCCTCAGCTGCTTCTTCAGATCATCATCGTCCTATTGAAAATGATAAAGGGTAGGTTTTTATTTAATACAGATCGTTCATTTACTTGAGCAAAGTACTGCTTCTGAAGAAAGAGATTAATGGAAAGCATGATAAAAGCTTCACTTTCCAATAAACATAACATATATTTAATAAAACCCACTATGAATAATGCTTTTATAAGATGAATATGTTTGACCTAATCAACTGAAAATCACTCAATGTTTACTTTCGAATATATTCTGCACATCTGTTACCAACCACAGGAAAACTGGGATGATTGGTATATGGATATCTTGGGAAGATATCAAGGTAAACATGAATTTAATAAAATTCAGGGTAAAGCATATTAACATGGCATACATTTTAGTGGAATTCAGATCATATTAAAAGGTGATTAATTAGAGCCTGTCCAAGACTGATGCAGAAGATGGAAGTTCATTTGAAGAATTTTGAATTATAATTGAAATAATAAATGAATATCATCCCAAATAAAGACTGTTTCCCCTAACATAATGGGATGAAAGAGCAAGCAAAAGAAGTGTGATGAAAAGTAATAATGCCAGCGTAAAAGGAAAGCAAAATGAATCGCTAAAACTGGAAAGAATTCATAAAATCATGTATAGTTTTTCGGGAAAATTTAATCCTAAGTTGACCTTAGATCCTGCCTTTGCTCCGACACTGTTAGCCTTCCAGTCAGCATCCTAATTAAAGAAGAGCTAGACATTAATGACTGAAGAATAATACATAGTAAACAAGAAAAGAGGTACACTCACCAGCTTAGCTTCAACCTCAGACAACTCTTCTGCTTCCCTAAGCATACGAATCAGAACATGAGAAAAAAGGAACCATTACACTAAAACCATAGAGAGAACAAATCAAACTGTTTTCGTATTAAAAGTAAGAGTCAAGGAAACAATAGAGATCAAATAAGTTGACATACCCTTGTTCGGTAAAGCCCTCCCAAAGAGACCAAATTCCAAACCCAAAGAATAACAACGTTGTAATGCTATGTGTCCATTTGCGAGAAATCTGCATTAATTGATGGGTCCACAAAGATCAGCAGATATCAATCACATTTGCTGTATAATATACGTACATGGTGAATGCCATTCGACAATCATTCAAACTTGTATGTACATTTCTGTGCTTGAAAGGAAGTTAAAACCTTACATCATACAAATAAGACCTAATCAAGAGGATCCCTTAATTTAATTTTCTCTAAAATTCGTCAACAGTTAGCTCTCACAGCATTCAGTAAGTTTTTTTTCCCCTCCAATTTTAGATATATCAAGGAAATGAAAGGTCGATGAACACAACGTCATAAAACTACTAGTTGATAATGGTAATACACTACAAAAGTCCAGACTAAAGAAAACACAGTAGTTTTTTCAACATTGAACTACATTGCTTTTATAGTATAAGTGATATAAAGACAGGAGAAGCCAATAATTTCATGACGCAATCCAATGTTGAATATTTGAAATCTTCTTGAAGTATAGTAGCTAATAATACTCCATAAATTTGTAGATAATGTCTCTCTCTCGTTCAAGAATAAAAAATTAAGAAAAAAATATTACGGTTAGAAATATTTCTTGATTTCTCAAGCAATACGTTTAACTGTGGTCAATGCTTAGTTTCCTTGTCTATATTGACTTCTCACGTCTCCTTGCTGTATTTTAACCAGCAACAAAGTTTCATCTTGGCGATGCATTCTCAGAAATGAATGCACATTATTGTACATGCACAATATCACATAATTGTAAGTAATGATGTTCTGAAAGATTTGCTTTATTGCGATATCAATGAGCTTTAGGATGCAAAGTTATCTATATATTGCCATCAAATATTCCAAGTCGATTTCCTACTAGTGATTTGTATAAATAACCAGTGAAGTTTTGGAATATTGTTTCCAAATCACTGCCAATTTTTTTATAGTTGACTAAACAAATAGTAATGTTTTTGATTGGTCAGGGACAGAAAGTAACCTTACTCTCCAGTCTTTAACCAGGCTCTTTAATTCCAATGGAAGACAAGCATGAAGAAGAACGGAAAATGGCTAGGTGAGTACAAGTTCCTCATTAAAAATATAAAAGATCCTATCCAGAACCCAAACATTAAAAAGTGGTAAGGAACTGGAATTTTTTGTGCACTAAACAAAATCAACTGAGTATGATCAAGTACCTACAGCTGCAAGGAACCCACACAGACATTAAAATTAACACGTGTCATATGAAACTGACGAGAAGTAATAAAAAAGTATTGTACTACTCATAAGCTGATCCAAAACGAGTTAACGTTTCCCAGGCAACTTCTAATTTTCCAAGTGACCAGCTTACCAGATTTGGTGCAGCCCAGCCAAAGAAAACAGAAAGAGCTGTCATCACCTACATTCATCAGAAACAACAAGATGCATAAGAAAACTAAATGGATAATAATTAAAGGAAACACAAGCAGATAAACATCAATGGAAAACTCACAATCAATGCTGACAAACAGCCTGACAAAACAAGCCTCCTCGGATAGCGCATTGCCAAGATCTTAAAAGAAGTGAAACCTCAATGTCAAATAGCGCATTGCCAAGTTGATAGTAAACTTCCAATTATTCAAACAGATGGATACTTAATGAAAAATTAGTTTTCAAGAAAATGCCATGAAGAGCACCAATTAGTTTCATCTGGCCACAGACCTCAAAGTTTGCATAAGCACGACCTTTACCCTCTGCTATCAGCTAGAAACGAATCTTTTCAACGAATGGAAGGATTTAGTTTCATTAGTCTATAGGGGATTGATGCTCTTTGCTTCTTTGATAAATTCATATACACCACCTAAAGCCTGTTATCCAAGAGCCCTACCTGAAACTTGTTATCCAAGAGCCCTAGATCATCTCCACTCCCTTCCCTGATGCATTGATCAAATTAATATTATTTGGCCATTCCATTTTCGCCCTTGAGACATTCACACTAGAGCCTAAGTGCATCGGCAACACCAACAATGCTGACAGAATCGGAGATTGAACATATGAAGCATAAGATGGAAAATTGTATTTCCATTCTCAAATTTCGCCCGCATATATTACCATAATGAAGCCTTATACCACCAATCTGTGTCTAGTGAGATCCAATGAAGGATCCAAGAATTTGACATTTTTTATGACTGTATGCACGCTTGGAATCGACCCTGTATAGTATGTTTATGACAAGATTAGGCGTAGGGGTATCCATCAAGTCCAGGAAGACAATTTGACATCTTGTAAAGAATAACTTTAGCTGTGGAAATTTCATGCATCCAGTTAGGGGACCAACCTTCATACTTCTCCTGAAAAAAGGAAAGATCCTCAACAAGGTAGTAAGAAAGGATACGTGATCGTCATTCAATAAAGAGGAAAAAGAAATGATCGTATGATTTGTGTGACGACAAACCCAACCCACCTATAATAGGTGATCCTAACACATTATTGTTACGATATAATATACTAGTCCATTTTTTTGCAGGTCTAACCTTAAGTAGCGCGTTCTTGAAAGATTGTGATAAAAAATACAGTGAATTCAGGTCACAGATTAAAGGATAGATAACTGCATGACAGAAGACTCAGCCATAACGTCTGGACCCGCTGCTGTTTACGTGAATGGAGAAAGGTACGAAATATGCAATGAAATACAGTAGAAGAAGAAAATTGGTCCCATTATTCACCAATACAACATGCAATAAGACTCACAGCGGCAGCGAAGAATGTTTTGTCTCCGATCTCGGAGAGCACGGTCATTGCCAGCGACTTTGAGAAACCCTGGTTACAGCCACCAAAATGTCCAGCATTTAACAGCCACGCATCCGCAGTAAAAAATTAAGGAAAGGAGAAGAGAAAAAAGGACCCAGAGGAGGAAGCAGCATAATGATCATCCAACTAGAAGCGTTCCTCGACCATCCTGCACCTTCTATCTCCGCATGGAAACAATGAAAACGAGTAGGAGGAGAAGCACACCTCAACCAATGATAGATCCATGGATATAAACCCAGCAGACAAAGCCACCGCAGGTGCTCCGTTCAGATAACCCGTAAATGGATCCCCCTAGGCAGCTGCTGTCTCCCTGCGATGAACCTGAGCCACGAGGACGAAGAAGAGGAGAACCGGAAGGAAGGGAAATCCCCAGAGAACTGGGGAGGAATCCCTCGCCGATGAGAATTGAGCAGTACCAGCTGGTCTGCTCCGATTCCCCCTGGCGAAACTTCCCTCTGTCCTCTTTCCTCCCTCCCCCTCGTCTCTCTCTCTCTCTCTCTCCTTTGTTCTTCCCGCTGCTCAGACTGTACGATGGGGCAAATGTTAAAGAACCGAAGGGGTCCACGAGGTCGAAGGTGTGTCGTATTTTTCATGAATACACCCTGAAAAATTTACAATCACCCAAAAAGTCAACAAGCATACAAAATTTTCTCATTTCCATAACTGGACATTGCCACCCCCCCCTCTGAGCAGGACCCACGTCAGTAAGCAGCTAAGCTACAACTTAATTAATATTGACATTGTCTAAAACTCCTTTATTTTATGTATTAACAGAAAGATCCCTAGTTGACCATTGCCCTGCAGGTTCTTTAAAATTAAGCACTTGAAGGTAGTCTGCCCACGGGGAGCGGTAATCCCACACGCGGAGGCCCATCTGTCACTCGTTCTCCGCACTTTCTCTCTCCTGCTCTGGTTTGTTGTCGAGAGAGAGAGAGAGAGAGAAGAGAGCGACAGGGAGAAAGAGACAGAGAGACGGACAATGAGGAAGAGCGAGCGAAAGAGAGAGAGAGAGATACGGTCCATGTCAAGTTTCTGTCTCAAGATCCTATAGCTCTGGCTATGTCTGTGACCCGCCACACTCTTCAGAGTTTTGGCCTGAGAGTAATGGCCCCCGATGGCGACGGCTCGCCAGTGACCAGCCCGTCTCCGGCCGCCGGCGGGGGCCCTCCGCCGCATCGCTGTCGTACCCCCTCATCACCTAGGTGGAGGCACCGCCGCTCCGAAGCCGCCCACCTCTGCCGCCTCAGAAGGTTGACCATCTCCGCTTTATTGTCCCGCGAGCTCCGATATGAAGCTCCGATGACGAACCCAAGATTTTCTCTCTCCTTGCTTAAGGGGGAAGATGGGGCTGGAAGAGACTGGTTTCTACTTTCGTAGGCAAGTTCTAGAGAGAGAAGAAATATCCAGATTGCCAACGGATGCCTTTCTCTAGCTTTCTATTCAGCTTTTAGGTCACGAATCTCGTTCTTCTCCCGGTCCCTCTCCCCTGTTGTCTGTCTCTCTTCCTGCGTACTCGTATGTTTGGAAGTCTGAGATCATGCATGAAAAACGTGAAGTCGCCTTTTCTCGCTCTCTGCATGCATGGAGGAATGCGTGCTATCTCTCTCTCTCTCTCCTCGCTCTCTCGCTCTCTCTCGCTTTCGCTCTCCCCCTTTCCTACTTTGTCCAGTATCTCTTACTTTTTGTCCCTTCCCTCTGTTCCCTCTCTCTCTCTTGCTCGCTCTTTCTCACTTCCTCTCCCGCTCGCTCTCTCCCCTCCCTCTGTTCCCCCTCTCTCTCTCTCTCTCTCTCTCTCTCTCCCCTTCTCTCCCCCCCTTGCTCTCTCGCTCTCTCTCCCACTTCCCTCCTTTGTTCCCTATCTCTCACTCTTCTCCCCTCCTCTGTCCCTCTCTCTCTCTCTCTCTCTCTCGCTATATATATATATGTATCTTGTTGGCCTGTTGTGGTCATGACCCCGGTTGGAGTGTCTGGTTGGACGACTCCGAAAGAACCCAACGAATTAGGGGGCGGGCGGTGCGGACAGAAGCTTGACGACGCAATCAACATAACGGGAAATCCGCAGCCTACGGTGGAACGGAAGCGATTTCTCTCGGTTTTCTTTTAATATTCGTTCGATGGCTTGATAGCAGAGAGAATGGTGTCTTATTCTTGAAGCGCTAGCATCCGCTCCGTCAATTTCAGGAACGAGGGAGTGAGAGAGAGAGAGAGAGAGAGATTAGAGGAGCCTGCAATTTTCACGTACTCATCCTTCTCTGTCTTGTCCCTGGCGTCTTATATCGAGGGGAGAAGTTTCGTAGAAATAGGGTTATGTGGGACAATGATGTTCTAGTCATTTAAGGGATATATGTGGGATCAACATCGCTCATGTGAAAGCTAGCGAGAGAAAGAGAGAGACGATGGTAAACACGTTGCATATGAATTTGTTAATGGAAACGTATCATTAATTACTTCACTTATAAATAAATTCAAAAATAATTGAATTGAGATGATACCCAACAGGATCACTAAATTATGAAACTTACTAAAATATTAAGAGTGAGAAATCAACAACAACACCCATTGTCCTAACATTTTGGGCCAGAAAATCAAACCTTCTTACAATTCTAGGTATATACTCATTCTTTGCCATCATTATCTTACTTATAACCCAATCTCAAATGGTGGCTTATTGTTTATTGCCTTGAGGTCTTCATGAACTTGGTAGATGAAGTTTAGCCTTGCCTTTGATAGCAAACCCTCGAGATCAGGATCTCACCTATTGCTTCCTTATTTAGACTAGGTCCACTTGTTCACTTCATACTCTTTATCCTTGCATGCTAGGAATCAATTATATCTTAGCTTTTGTATCTTCTAAAACCATGCAGACTACAGATCAACACTTGCTAGAGTTAACCTCAAGTCAAGAGCAAAGTGTTGAAATAGTTTCATTTTCGGTTACTATCAAAGTTGAATCGTCAATGGTACAAATTTCTCTTCTCAACTTATCACAAAGTAATTCTAACAAGGATGACTGGATTACTTTAACAATTGTGGCCAATGTCACCTCCTAGTCTTTATAGTCACATTTCTATGAAGCTCATTCAAGCTTTTGTGACACACAAGCCTAATGCAAAAGGGAGTGTGATGTCTGAGTAAACGTGTTCTGTTAATGCATGAGGCATAGGTCCAATCCTTGACCACCTTCAATGGCACTTGTCCTTTTTAATGACATTATAGAATTATTTAGATTTACTGAATTTTTTTTAAAAAACATAGATTTTCTACCATTAGCCTCTTTGATTCTATAGTGTTGACAATTGCTTTTGTAGGCATAATATCAATGGTACAAGTGTTGACATCAAAATATTTGATAATTTACATTTGATGATACAAAACGTAAGGCAAGGTAGAGTAAATAGCATCGAAAGCTCATAATGTGTATGGCTTAATTAGTCTGAACCGTGTTCTATGTGGCAAACCTCCCCTAGGAATGGTAGTTAGGTTTCTTGAAAACTTGTATAAAGTGGCTTTCTTGGTATGCTACTAATCAAACCTTGTATTGACTAGTTATCTTCCTAAGTTGTCACTCCAACTCTCAAACCTTCCTCAATAGTAAGTTTGGACAAAATAGAATGTCAATTTTTAATACAATAGTTTTGGCAAGCTTGGATGACTCAAAATTATGGATAGTGGAAGCTTATCAAATAATTGTTCTTAGTCTTTCATGTGTGAAAATATTCTATTGGCTAATGCAAAATGTGACATCTTCCATAACTCAACAATGGCTTGATTGGAGATTTTTAAACTTTAATTCCATGGAAAGTAGCAATCCTAAAACTATGGTTGATTGGGAATTCAAATTCATTTGTCACTATCTCGTTGGCAATTTTTGACTTGCAAGGTTTCCTTTTCTAGTTTGTTTTAGGTGCCAACTCATACTTCTTTTTCAGTGTTAAACCTTGTTGGAAAAAACTTCTTTCTATCTTTGATTTAAGGTCCATCAATACCCTTGGGCTGTTAACTTGCCTAGTAAGCAATGCCCAACTCATTGCACATTGAATGGATTAGAATGTATAGAATTCTCATTTGCTGACTTTTTGAGTGACTATATCTTGGGTTTGACTTTTACCATAATCCAGCTTTTCCATCAAAAAATGTCCAAATCCATTAGTTTCAACTTGACCTATGTGTGCATTAATTTTAAGCTTGAATAAACTCAATGGAAAAACTAATGTGGGATTAAATTTTTTTCATGATGGTAAAAAATATTCATTAAAGAGAAAATATGAGTCTATAAAGAGGGCCTTAGTATTTAAGATGGCCATGTTCTCCCTACTGGAAGATTACTCTTGCTGCTGATGTAATTTAGAAGTATAAAAGACCTAAATTAAATGGTATCTAAATGCTCTACTGATCATGGATTAAACACTTTAAAAATTAATTATAATTTTTACACTTTAATCTTTAGTATACATATTTAAATTTAAATCACATGAATGTAGAATGGTTAGTTTAACTTTGCACATCACACCAACTGTAATATATGTTCTACTATCAAATTCAGAATGTCTCCATAAAATTTGGATTAATTTTTAAAGTTATTTATAATTTTTGATTAGAATGTTGACATTAACAATGAATTTAGAATGCTTTTACCCATTTCTGAGTAAATCTCTTAATTATTTGATCATTTTGTTGACTTCAATTAGAATGCAGATTATAATATCAAATCCAAAATCATTTAATAACAGCTTTAAATTAAATGTTTTAATGATTAGATCAATTTGTTGAATTCAATAAACATGTTAGAACTATTGATTAATGGATTTTGGGAAGCTTTATTCATTATATGCATCAATTGGAATGTTGATTATAATCTTTAATTTTAAGTTTCACTGATACAATAATTAAAATTTTAATTAGATTATAATGCTTATTTGTGGAATATTAGAATTTTAAATTCAGCTAAGTATTGAAATTTCCATTGTGAATCTTCAATGTATTTTCTGACTAACTTAATCATTCTCAATAGTAAATCAAAACTTTGGAATGAAATTGAGAAATGGTTTTCTGCTTTAAAAAAGTAAATTAAAATCTGACACAATATGACCTAATTTTTTTTTGTATTGAAGGCATGTATAGTGATATGATAAACCGTATCAAAATGCAAACATATGAATTAGTTATGAATTTTAAAATGTTAACTAATATTTTTTGAAGTCATATTTCAAGTGTTTTAACACGATAACTAACAATTAGAGTTCTATCTATAAGAAGAGTTCATTACAACCAAAGAAAAACGAGAGGGAGGTCCAAAATATATGCTTCAAATAGTCAACATACTAACTAAGCACTTGATAACAATAAGAAATCAATTGTTACTCATGAAATATGCACTCGCCCAAGCAATCAAAAGAAGGTTCGAGCCATCTGAATAGATAAAGATCACCTATTATAATGACATCATGGCATACAACAGATCAAGCTAAGGTTATTTTTATTTTAGTTAATTTTTATTGTGATCATTGTAGCTTTGTAGCCACACAAAATGTGGACTTTAGGTGCATTTCTACTCAAGTTAAATAGCACCTTGAGCTGTTTGGTGGATTAGAGTCATTAAATATAGTGGAGCCTTGACAACATAGATTTTTTTTTAGTGAGATAGAGCCAATAAACCTAGTGGTGCTCTAAAAATGTTATAACTGTTGTTTGGCAGGCTGGAGATAAACCCGATAGAAGCTTGATAGTCCCATGATACCTATTGAGTGGTAGAAGTCAAAAAAAAGTAAGTGGAGGAATGATGACCTTAACTAACATTAAATAGTTCAGTATAAGTAATACTTTTATTGTAATGTTTGCCCTAAAAACAATTCAATTTTGAGAGCACAAGGGAAACCAATAGTTTCGAAAGGCTATTAGCTTCCCAAGGCCATAAGCACCTAGATGTAATCTTCATGGAAGATTAGTTGAAATTTCAGGAAAATGGCTCTTTGAACATTAGATACAAGCTGGAGGTTTAATCACTCTAAAATCAATGTGTAATTTTCTTATATGTTTGATATTTTGATTCGAATTAATTAATCATATTTCGGCATCATAATAAATTAAAATAGTTAAATATAATCCTATTAATTTGACTTACTCTAATTCTATTATCTATGGTTCACACTATATTAATATATTGTTCTACGTGATTTACACTCTAATTCTATTCTTGTAATCAGACTATTGATTATTAGTTCTATTGAATTTTAAAGCTCTAATTGTGAAGATTATTGTGTCAAATTAGAACTAGTATTGAGTAATTAAACATGATTAAGTGTATTCACCCACCATCGAGCCTATATTAGCCATCATTGGGCCCATTCATTTATTTATTCTCCTCATTATTCTCTTATTCTTACTATCCCTTATTTACACTTGTTTTCTCTTTTTATTTTTAATTATTCAAATACTTTGTGGACCTCAGCTACCCAATCGAGACATCCCATTTTCTTGACTCATCTCCCATTAGAAATTCATCAACAAGGCTCGTGGATCTCAAGTCATTGGAATTAAGAAAATCACTCCAAAATGACCTCAGGTACATTGATTTCAATTCCCTTTGTGAAGTGATCATTATTTTAAATCCTTACTCCTTATAGAAATTGAGTGAATCATAAGCTAGACCTCTTTGTGCATCTTACCGGTGACCCTAACACCCTAGTTGAAACTTTATTTGAATTCTTAAAAGTACAATTCTTCTTAGATAATTACCATCTTAATTCTTCTAAAATCAGCGAAAGTAACCTACTCCCAATCTTCCTTAACCTAGTCAAGAGTAATCTTAAATCTTAACCTTCTAGTCAATACTAATATTTCTCTTTGGTCCCACATCATAGTATATTCAACTTATTAAAAAGTTGACATACATGGGCAACTAGTCATCACACCCAGTAGGAACACTATATATGTCACCAAGATAGCCATCGGAGAGTTGACTCTTTCTTTGCTATTAATGAACTTAAACTCTTTAGTTTGTTGTAAAAAGTGGACAAATTTGACACAAATGAAGGAAATTATAGTGACTAAACATTGGCTGTAACCCACTTAATTCCCATATGACATTTGATAATAAAAACACCAAGACAACTTGGCAATATATTGATAACTTGTGGGTTCACTAATAAGGTTTGATCATGATAGCTTAAGATTTTAACATACTTCATCTTACATATTTTTTTCACTATTAATATGTTAAAACGTGAAAATGTTATTATACAAGAAATAAAATGATAAATATATAGAACAAATATTATATCGTTTCGGGAGAACAGATTACATTTAGAGTACCACCAGCCAGCAAACACCCACCGGTAATTTTCAATTTCTCAAGTTCTTTTGTTATTTTTTGAGTTATAGATGCGCACTGCTTTCATATCTTCAAAGAAAGTATGGGTTCAGGCCAGAAAGACGTTAGCTTTCAGGGGCTTTTGGATTGTTTTTTCTCTTTGGAGGGGAAGGATTACGCGAGTGAGTAGCTTCCTCGCGACCGTGATGGCCGAGCCCACTGCGCTCGAATCTGATTCCTCGCTTCGTCGTTGTTCGTTCTTGATATTCTCCTCCCATGACAATCAGGGGGTTCTCCCCGGCAATCCTCTCGCTGCGGTGATCAGGGCAGTGGGGGGGCGGCCCAACGACGCCAGCGGCTCTCCCCTCCTCCCCTGCCATGGCTAGGAGTCGCCTGCTTCTGGTGCTGCTTCCGTTGTTCATGTGGGTCTCTGTCTTCTCAGCCGACAGTAGCAGTGGTTGCTGCAGCGCGGGTGGGGACAGGTCAGTATCCAGGGAGTTCTTCCCCATGGAAGGGGACGTCGCCTGGGTAGTCCAGGTTTCCGATCTCCACCTCAGCGCCTACGACCATGATCGCGCCCGCGACCTCGAGGCCTTGCTCGGCCCCGCGCTGCGAGTTGTGCGACCCTCCTTCCTCATCGTCACAGGTGACCTCACCGGTGAGCGATTCTTAGCGTGGGCCTCTCATCGGACGGCTGTCTCCGTTGATCGATGCTTTCAGTCTTGTATATCTTTCAATGCCTGAAATACTGAACAGATGGCGTTAGCGTTTGACTTTTATAATGTAAAGGTCACCATCTGTCCACGTCTATTTGCAGCCTGGAATGGATATCTGATGGCACCTGAATGACGACTGTTCTGTTCTTTACTAGCTTAATCCTGATGTCTGCGTAGATTCAAAACTCGATTTTTCATATATTATCAATGATGTTTGATGCTGACATTCTTCATATAAATATAAAATCGAGGAATCTTGATGTGTCGGTGAAGAAGAATAATCAGGCTCTACCAGTTGACTTTCATGTGGGCATGCTGAATTTATGTACTTTTAAATAAAGGTTAATATTTTTTCTGTCAGTTGTTCATTAAACAATAGGTTGCCGACTCTATCTTCGTATTCCTGGTCACTTTTTTTTCCTTGGGCCTGCAACGGGGTAAAAGGCCTAATAATAGAAACAAATGATGGAAAAATAATCTTAAACAGATCCTCTGTCCATAGGCGAATAAAAAGCCCTTACTAGATTCTAACCTACCTATTCACTCAGTCAATGTGCTCTCAGGCCCTGCAGGCATATAAAGGAGTTTTATTCTTCAGGAATTTACTCTATAAATTTCTCCCAAATTTTCCATCTTGAGGGGGGACATTTGATTGCATGCTTTTGGTCAAGTTTGGGTAAAAATGTCAGATTTATTTTCTTTCTCAGATTACTGATAGATATCTGCTCTACAGTTTCATTGGTTAAATCTTTTATCTTTTTCAGGTTGTATCTTGAATTTATTTGAAGCACATATCATGACTTTTTGGCCACAGACTAGAAATAAAGGTTTTTCTTATTTTTGATGCTATTCAACGGGCTCAATTGAAGCCCATCCCCTCATCTCCATTGGTTTAGACCAATTGGGTATAAATTTTACTGTCATATTTATATTTTACCACACATTAAATTTTTTTATTCCTTCTACCGATCAAAATCAGTGGCAGTTGGGTATGTAGTATGCCTATTCGTAGCAAGACAGAAAAATATTTAAATACTCAATGGCTTGACATTTGAATCTGATATAAGTAGTCTGCCAAGGCACACTGTCCCACAAAAAGATGGTCAATAGTTTTATCAAACGCAAAATCTTGTACATCAGGTGGAGGATCTGAGTTCCGCTATAGGTGAGCAGGACTTCAATTCCCTAGCTAGAGAAAAATATTGGATTTTTTTTGGACTAATCTCTTTATGATGTGAGCTTTAACCTAATAGACTGAGAAAATAATTTAACACAGACAACGAGTATTCTGGTCAGATCATCTATTTCATTCCTGCTATCAATTCTTTGTTACTGCTGTTGCTGCATTGACATCTACTGTCACCTCTCTTCTGAGATAGTAAAGAACCTTAACTAGAGGCCTGATTAACTCACAGACCAAGGGAATTATCCACTCTGTGCACTGCTCCTTTTGCTCACCTGGAGAAGTCAAAGGTAATTTTCCACATTTGGCGAAATGACTTCTGATCATCTGGGCTCTGCTTGTTCCATGGCCTTTGAATGACGTCCTTGCTTAAGGCTTTTCTACTCATTGGCTTTTACTGTCCCTTGGGATTGTTATACTGCTCCATGGTGTCAAACTCTAGTGAGTTAGGATCGAGCTCATTGTACATGATACAAACCATTTTATCTCTTGTTTTTGTTCCCTTGAGAGATAAAGCTTGGTCTCCAATGTTTCCACTGGAACGAGATCTTTGAGTTCAGCCATTGTCCGATAAGGATAAAGTTCAATTACCTAGAGAAAGAAATGATATCCAGGGGAAATAATGAACTGATTACTTTTTTTTTTTCTTTAACTTACAGGGCACTTTCTATTGAATGCTTTTCTAATGAAGCTCTCCTGTTCACTCTTTTAGCACTCCATTTTTCTTCATTACCTCCCAACTGTCTAAGATTATGGGGTATTTTCTTACTGGGAATCTCTTACAGGTTCTACATGCATGTTGTCTTTTTTTGTTTTCTTTGTGAAATCAGATGCCAAAAACAAGGAACGGACGAGTACAAGGCAAGATGAGCTTGAATGGGTCCAGTATAGAAATAGCATGGATGCTGTGATTATAAAAGCTGGTATGGGTGGGCGAAGAGTACTTGACATAAGAGGCAATCATGAAAAATATGGAGTTCCCTGCGTTGGTGATAAATTGGATTTCTTCTCAGTTTACAGTACAAGTGCCCTGATGAATAGAACAGGCAATATTCAGAGCATATCCCTAGTGGTAAGCTGATTCTTCTTTTTTCGCTAAAAATGCTAAGACATCAGTGGCTATTATCTTTAATTCTTTTGTAAAAGAAAGTTAGCATTCTTTTCTGTCTTGTATATCTCAATATGGATAATAGATTTTTAGACTGGTAGCATCACTTATAAATTCGACTTTTCATCGTTTTCCTATCAATCATGCGGACTTTTCATATTCTAGTTTGCTTGCTGACAACTTCAATGGTCGCTCAACGATCTTTAGTATGGTATTAGTTGGTTGGTATTTCAATGGACGCTTGTGATGATCATGATTATGATCATGATGAAACGGGGTCCCAAAACCAGTGGAAGTAAGCTTCAATGCATGCCTACCCAAAAGTTTATTGTAGCCTAAAAGTTTCGAAAATAATACTTGGGTCTTGACTATCCACCCACAGCATTGTTCAACCATAATAGGTGGGGATTCCTTGAAAGGGTGAGCTCATTGGAGAGATCGCATGTAAGTTTTCTTGGTGATGTACCCTGTTTCTTGTATTCATGCTTCTGGGCCGAGATATGAAGTGAGCATTTTAACTGCTGCCAAAATGGGATTTGCTTCTGGGACAGCAATTTAATTTTCTTTCGTTTTGCCTTTCTACATCACAACTGGAGAATGGGTGTCGATATCAAGGAGGTTAGATATAAACCTCTTGATGGAAGCCAGCTTGGTTTGGAGAGGCCTCTAGAAGTACTCCTTTCCTCCGTTAACAGGTTTCCTCGTTTAGAATCCCAATTCCCAAGAATTTCATGTAGGGCGGAGCTCTCAGGGTCTGCTTTTATCTTGCAGTTTCTAAGCCATTCCGACACCTTCCTCATCTCCACTCGAATGTCACTGTTTTTTTCTAAGCATCATCATGTCGTCAGTATGGCTTCTCACCAAATTGCGTCCCTTGCAGTCTTTCAACAGAGAATTCATTGTTACGGTCATTCTTAGTGTTTTTTGATAGTTCGACACAGCCTATGGATGTTTTCTGATAGTTCAAATGTTTTTATAAGCTCTTAGATCCAATCTTACTTCCTTATAACAGTAATGTTTCCTTGATAACTCCCCTTCGTGAGCTTCATTCATTTGTTTCTGAGATAGGTAAGGTAGTCATCACTGGTAGCTTCATTTTTCAGCTGAGAAGCTCTTGGAAGGTTGACGCACCAAAGTGAGCCTTTGGAAATAATTCACCACTAAAATTAGTTTAGACGTTGGGCATTATCAGTTTTCGTGCTATTATCAGATTATTTTTCTCTTCTAAACGTTGATAATTTTATCCAGTGCATTTAATTGAAGGTTCTTCAAACGTGATCGGATCTAATTAAGAAGCTTATGTTTCCAATTCCTGCGTAGTGACGAACTGAAGGGTTTTTAGGGAAACGAACTGAAATACATGTTCATTGGCGTGGACGACACTATGGCTGTCGGATTGCGTGGGCCCTCGAACCTATTCGGTCATCCAACAGACTCGATGATTCAAACCCTGGATGCAGAGCTTCGATACTGGGATGCCAATCCTCTGGCGTTGACCGCGAAGATTGTTTTTGGGCACTTTCCAATCTCGTTCACTGCTTCTTCCAAGACCGGGAATCGTTATGAAGAAGTATTCTCGAGAAGGTCAGTCTCTGCATATCTCTGTGGGCATCTCCATGCCAAGTTTAGTAGCCAGCTATGGAGGCCACATGTGGTTAAGGGGGTGGGTGATTCCGAGCCGAAGATGGAAAGAAGTCGGTTTTGGGAATGGGAACTGGGAGACTGGAAAGAATCCAGGTTGATGAGGATCGTCGCAGTTGACCGTGGCAACGTAACATTTCTAGACACCAAAGTTAACCCCGGGCTTGAAGATGATCATTTCCCGACTACCATCCTCATAACGTATCCCGTTGACTCAAGAAGCATGTCTCAGATGAGAGAGGATGGCCGGGTGGTGAGGAAGGATATCGATGCACTTGTCTTCTCTCTCTACCCAATCCGCAATGTGACAGCCAAGGTATACGATTCCTCAAGGGGTTACAGGCCAGTGGAAGAGATACCACTCCGGCGTGCTACCAATTCCCTCTCATCACAGCCACTGTTCTCTGCCAAGTGGAATGCCGAGAACTACAAGAGCCCTTCTGCCGACCGCTACTTCCTACAGGTGTTTGTGGTAGACGGCGATGGGAGGGAGACTACCAGTATACTGAGGCCATTCTCAGTCGAAGGGAGGTTTGCTCCATTGCCCACAACATGGTTAGCCTATTTAGCCCTCTATGTCCCCTGGGAGTCTCTCTATGCAGTCCTCCTGTGGAGTAATATCAGCTTCCTCACAGCACTCCTGCTGCTTCCTAGAGTGTTAATTCTTTTCATGGAGCCGCGCAGGCCCTATCAGAGCCAGGTTCTCTCAGCTTCTCTTTCTTCCTCCGCGGGTCGGAGGAGGTTGTATTCTTGGCCGCTGTGGTTCTTGGTGGAGGGCGAGGAGCGGAATGCTGTGGCCTTTTATGGGCATTTACCTGGTACATTTGCTGTCCTTCCCTCGGTTCTGGGCAAATGCGGCATCTGTTGATGGAGATTTGGGGAGAATGTCGGCCTTTGGGTGGACGATGGAGCCTTCTGCTTGCCCCATCAAGGAGGAGAAATCAGGCGTGCCCGATGTAATAACCATCACCCTGCCTTTCATGTATCTGGTTGTTACCCCTCTGCTGCTCATAATTCACAGCCTGTTTGCCGAAAGATCTGCATTCTATTCAAAGAAACCCAGTGGGGGAAGACCAGACTCAGGCGCCTCCGCAATGGTTTCCCAAAAGAGTAATCTTGATCGGGAAAGATGGGTGAGGATGGTGATCTTGTTGGCATGCGTGATCTTTGCTTGCATTCATCTCAAGGTGATTATGATATATTATTAGTAAGTCTTTTTGGTATTTTTTAAATTTAATTATTTTTATTATATTAACTTTTACCCTTTGATCCAGACCCTTATCGCCATAGGAAGAGCTTATGGGATCCGTGAAGTTGCACTGTCTCCCGCCCTGTGCTGGGCGCCGCCGATCTTCCTGGCAGCGGCCATCCTTCTTAGCCGGTAATGAGAACTGCTATCAGCTTCGGATGTGTATGATCTTTCACGTGTCAAACTGATGAAAGTGTAGCTGACGAGCAGAAAAAGTCAACCCCACCTGAAGGCTGATGGCGGGCACTCGTGAACAAGGCTGAGACTAAATTTTGCATGGCACAATGCTTGTAGCCTAGGGGGTTCACACCTCCACGGCAAATTGAAGAGCAGGATTTGCTAAGGTTGAAGGTCACAATTATACAAGGGTTGACATTTACACAAAAATTGAAGAATCATATCTGCAAGTGGTCGACACTCGCAGTAACCATTAGACTATAGGGTTGACTGTCAGCATTCCCTATGGTTGACGCTTTATGGATTAAATGGGCATAAATCTCAACTTTATAGCGTGGAAAGTATGTAAAAATTATGATTTTTAAAGCTATTAAGATGGATGTGTTGTATTATAGATAATCTCCCTTGATTAGCAATAACAATACCACATAATGAGATTATAGATATGGCCTTGGGAATCCACAGTTCCGGATCTAGGAACATATTCTCTTTACAATCTTTGGAGATCTTGTGAGTTCTTAAATTTGTTTCCTATTGTGTTTTAAAAAGCTTGCTGATCGGACAATGCTTGATACAACACAAAAGGTATGATTTATACCCTCAAAAAGCTAAATTGCAATCCACTAAACTTAACTGCGTGGATACTTGGGAGGGAGGCTTGGGACTGGATATGATCTGGGATTAAAGTAAGCCATCATGGAGTATCAGTTTCTCCTATGATTTCTTTTGATTTATAGTATGATAGCTTTACTTTTGCACCAAGTTTACATGGTGAAACATTTTCAACCATCTTGTATAATATAATATCTGACTTCAACCTTCAAAATAAGTAGTTCGTCCACACAATGAAGTGCTCCCATTTAATTTCCAGGTACCATGCACCCTCCTCCATCTAGTCTCCAAGCCGTATGGAGGCCCTCTTGGAAATTCACGATTCCAAAGAACAAAATAGGGATCTTCAATCAACAAACCCAAGGTTAGAAAAACCATCCAAATTGGGTGAAAATATGAGCATTGATGGAGCTTAGGTTCCCTCACTTTAGATGATTGGACCACCTTGGATGTGAAGGTAACATGATAAAAAATTGCAAACATAACATGATAAAAGCCTGCTCTTAATGATTCGAAAATTCCATATGATTGTAAGAGAGATCTAGGTATCTTTTGAGAACTTTTTACCTTGCCAATAATTAGATTTTGTTCACCAATGACTAACATTCACCATAACAGCTATATTTTGTCTCCACATATAACGAGGGCTTGACTTAAAATTAGACGTATAAAAAATAAAACTATGTGCATGTTTTGTTAATAGAGGTCACCTCTTGAGATTCACTTCTACTATTTAAGATACAATGCAAGGAAAAAAATCTACAAATTTTACAGTAATATTTTACCATTTATGACATCATCATGATACGATAACTCATTGGTTCTCTACAAAACTCAATCACTCAACATCTCATCATCATAAGAATTTGTGGACATATAATCAACAAGGTGCTCCTGTGATATACTCCACCGAAGTACTCTCTCTGGCATACACCATGGTAATAGTGGTCAACCATCACACTTGGCCGTTCAACAAGACTCATCAACAGTTGATGCAGTAGCATCAGTCGAGTTGTCAACTCTCGCTTTTATGTTTTCATCCAATTCTTCGTCCAAAATCTCCAGGGCCCGAGAGCAGTACCCATCATAAGGAATGGTGGCTGATGAAGAGACGGGGAGTGGGGTAGGGATCCAAAAAAATGCCGAAGATCGGCCTAAGGACATATAATTGCCATTGTGCTCAAGATTAGCCGATTTCTACGTGCTGTATGGACGCCATATAATGATACCCTTTCATTGTAGATCAGAAATAATATAAGATTAATGATCGAATTGGAAGCTGAATGATGTCTCAGCGGACTTTTAGTGGAGATTCACTGTTTTTAATGCGGAGAATAGACTCACAATTAATCCGAGAAAAGGGTAGATACCGTAGAGCCATGTCCGAAATCCTCCCAACTTCGGTGTGTTTCGTACCGCGGCATCTCCCGTTGCACCACAGACTGATGCCTCACACTTACCCTCTTGGGACATGGGAACTAGAAGCTCTCTCTCTCTCTCTTCCTGGCCTTTCTTTCCTCCAGTTTCTCTCTCTATCTAATCCCGTTATTCTTCCCGTGAGTCTTGTATCCTTTTTCCTGATTGTTCTTTCTTAGAGCTTCTCTCTCGCTCTATTCATCACTCACTCGTACCAGCAGCTCTCTCACGACCGAATATATCCGAGTATCTGAAACTGAAAGGAAATGGCAGAGAAGTGAAGAACATAACTATTAGCTTCCCTATCGTATCAACTGATGAGGCTGACTCACACTTTTTCTCTCCGACCTTGGACTCAAAGTCCTTCACAAAAACTGGTAAAACCTAACTTGAGAAGAGATCCTGGCTCTCCTATCTGTCGAAGAGCCAATGGCGTCCTTGTCGCCGCTTAAAGGGAAGAGGTCGAGCTCCAGCGCCCTGGGCTTCTCCCTAAACGCTACCACGGAGGCGGCGGCGCTGTCGTTGTTGACCAGAACCGGCCGCTGGAGCCCAATCGGGGGCTGACAGGTGGCCTTCTCCCCCGTCCAGCTTTGCTGCTGAGGGTGGTGCAATTGAAGCCATGGGTAACTTGGAGATTTCTGCGAAGATGACAGAGGAAGATAGCGTCCAGCAACCTATTCATGAAGTGGGAACCCACCTCCTATACAGAAAACAAAAGGCAAGAGTGTGGAGGGGGGGAGGGAGGGAGGAAAGAAGGTCAAGAGAGAGAAGAGAAGAGAGGGAACTAGAAATGGAGTAGCACCTGTTCTATTCTGGCAGGTGCAGCATCATCAGCGCCAGTCGCAGAGGAAGCAAGACTAATGCTTTGCCCAGATTTATGCGTGAGGATACCTGCCGGCGCTGCTGCACCACCACCAACTTCAGACAAAGATCAACGAACATGAGAATATTTTCAATTCCTTCATCAAAATGACAGTAAAACAAAGAAGAAATAGAAGAAGGAGAAGAACAATGTCATCGATATCGAGAGAAATCAGGAAGAAGCAGAGGAACAACGACCACAATAGAACAAGGAGGAGAGTAAAAGCTTGTGACGGGGGTGAAGTAAAACATAATAATTGGGAAAGAGTCGGAGCAAAAGACGAAGGGCAAGGAGAAGAAGAAAACAATGATGAATTTGACGATTAGGAGAACACGAAAAAGATAATAAGCAGGATGAAGTGCACGAGGAGAAGAAAAGGATGACGACGATAGTGGACGAGGTGCGAGTCGTTCGGATTCATGTTGGCGTTAGAACAGCACCCAGATCCTGTCGGTTGGAATTTTCCGGAGGGCTATCTGCCTCAAGCTGCCGGCGCAGCCGCTGGCGCTCCCTCGCCTTGTGATTCTGGAACCAGTAGAATACGTTCTTCCCCTCGATCCTGCCGTAGCGGCGGAGCTCAGCGGCGATAAGCTGTATCTGGTGCGCCGGCGGCGTACGTGTTCCCCTTTTGTAAATCTCCTCCAGCTCCTTGAGCTGCTCCCTCGTGGGGTTCCACCTCGACCCCGATCGATGTTTCTGCTGATCCGCGACATTCTTCACTGTTTAAACCCATTAGCACTGACAGGAATAGGGTTACTTACTAATTCATAGGCCTCATCCAAAGTCCTGAGAAAACTTACAGCAATGATTATTGGTTGGAGGGTGACTCCTCCTCTGAGGCATAATGTGATAGATGTAGGAAGACAAGCCAGCAGTAGCGAGCATCCGGAGCTTCCGGATACGGAGGGGATCCGATGAGCAGTTTGCTACCATGGACATTTTGTGGGAAGGAGTCTGAGAAGAGGAGAAAACTCAGACTGTGGGAGTGACGGATTTAGTCCGAAGAAGGCGGTTCAATTTTATCGAGCGCAGATATCTGTCGATCAAAGTGTTCTTCTCAACTTGAGCTGCCTAAAGAAGGAAGGAGAAGCGTAGGACTAGCAGAGAGAGCCGAGAAACGAAGAGGTGCCGGTGGCTTGGAATTTTGGATATCCATCGGGAAGTTCGCTGTAACAACGACGTGACGATCATGGGGAGTCGATAACACGTACCACCAGTATCTGCGGGCAGTAGCAGCCCTGCAACACCTCTCTCTGTCTCTCTCCGTGTCTATCAATCTCTTCGCTGTCGTAAACGTGTTATACTCATTGTGGATGCTTTGCCCCCGTCCCACCATAACCCGACCTGTACCTTTCAAGCCTGTAGTAAATCCCAAGGGTCGCAAGGGGGCCGAACTGAGGCTCCTTGTCTTCTTCTCCTGCTTCCTCTCACCTGCATAGTCCACGCATCAGGGGTCTCCCCCCCACGCATCAGCTGTCCCACTGTGGCGCTCTCTGTAGCATGCAAACAAACGACGATTAAATGCCCAATGCAGATCCAGCATGTTCTCGGTTCGGGTGAGGAAAGCGTTACAGTCGTCTCTATAGTTTATTTACTGACTACATGTTCATATATGGATATATATGGCAAGATTTTTGTTATTAAGTTTTGTATTGATATTTCAATTTGTTTAAATTTCTAGTGAAAGAAGAACGTGCCAATCTTGACATTTATTAAACCAAATGTTATCTAAATATTTTGAAACAATTAGTTACTTTAATATGCCAATGGTTAATTCTTATCTGTAACACTTTCACCCGAAGAGGGATTCAAGTTAAATATCTTATTAGTAATTATTGATCATGATTTTACAGGAAATGGATGTAGGTACTCAGAACTAAGATTTTTAGAGCAGGTGAATTGGTGTGCATCTTAAACCAAAAGTCCTCACTTTTTTTTTTAATGTTATGGTATAAATTATTCAATCAAATTTTGAGTTAATAGGCTAAGTCAGTAACATTTTGATGATTTTTAGATACTAAATTGAAATCAAGAAATTGATGACATTAGATTGGCAGTTAATTAGAGAATGAAATCTCAATGATAGCTATATGTATTGAGGGGCATTATAATAATTCCACATGATCTAAAAGAAAAAAATATTGATGATTTTAATTATAGGAAATATAATTGATCAATTTAATTCTAATCATGACTAAAAACACGAAAGACATGTGGGTATAAATATTATAAGAATTATGTCATTATTTTATGCATGAGCCTTGACATTTGAATTTTCTATATCAATGGCTTCAGCAATGTAGACATATGAGCAGTCAATCAAAAAACAACATAGGAAATCATCAAGGTTTTGAATTGATATTGATTTTATACGATTAATGTGTATTTTTAAAATTTGAAATATAGAAGTAGAGTGTGACAGATTTAAGACCATTAGACAACTATTTTGAGCCAAGAAGCCCAAGGATATAAAAAACCATCTTGCCCCTTTCTAGATAATATTTGGCAAAAGGTTTCACAATCAAAAGAAAGTCACGAAGCAAATAAAAGAAGTTTTCAACTCTAGCACTCCTCAATATCTAACTCATTCATATTTCAATCTTAGTAAGCTTCATGATCTTTGAAACTCTTCCTCAAGCATCAGAAAACAAGAATTGAAATCAAGTTCATATTAATTGAAATTATGTTCTCACATTCTATTATTAAACATTATTTGTATTTACTGCGGTCATGTACCTACGAGGTGTATGGCAATTCGACTAGTGCCTATCATGCACTTGATCAATGGACTAGCCCCTATGATGAGTGATGTTAGTATTTAAGCACACATGATGTGCTTGAGTAGAAGGCCTGCACATGTCGTGTGCATGCTGGCTGATAAGTGTTTGTGGTGTGCTTAGCCAATTAGTTTGACTCATGGTAAGCTCAAAACTTTCTCATACAGCTGTGGTGTACTAAATATAAAGTGAAACACATGGTGTACTTACGTCTAAATGAAGGTTTCCAGAACTGTTGCTTTTAATATAGATATGTAGACTCAAGAAATTTATAATGTAAGGGGGAGCTGAGCCCATTAGTCAACTGTAATCATAAAGTGTGGTTAGCGAAAAATCTAAGATTGATTAACTTGAGAAGTGAACATAGACCTTGCAAGTTGAATCATAAAGAAAGAAATTAAAGAGATAAAGAATTTCAAAATTAGAACAATTAAAAATTAATAATAATTAGAAATCAATGCAACCCCCTCTCTTGGTTCATCGAGTCATCTAGGGACTACTATCAAGTATCTATCTTGTTACAATAATGTCAAAATAGTTCAAGTTCACAACTAAAAAACTTCAATTTTATTAATGCAATGCCTTGCCTCTATATAAGTTTTTTGTCTCACCTCCTTTAGAATAAACAAGTAGCCATGCCTCTAGGTAAGTTTTTACAAGACCTTGTAGACCTCTAAAAAGGTTTTTACACTAGATTATTCTTACCCATTTGTCTATTTATGAAAAATGATGAGATGAATAAATCAATATTAATGATTTTTTTTGTTTATGTTATTTACGTATGTTAGAGGAGGGAGTGACAATGCATGGGAGAATCATATAATATTTTCAATATTTTCAGAAAAAAATAAGGAGACAAAATCATCAAAATAACATGCAAAAAGTAAAAAATGAAGCCATAGAAATCTTTAAATTTTGAATTTTGAGAGCAACAAGGAATGAATTATACTTCCTTGATCCCTCAAAGTTTTGAGAAGAGAGAAATGATGGAAGATGAATGAAGAAAGGGGGCTATACTAAGAGAAATAGAGAGAAGATATCCTAGAATTTATTGATCAATTTCAGAGAAACTAGGAAACTTTCAAGGACAGTACAATCTAACTCTATTTTACTCAAATAATATAATATCGAGGAATGTGTAGTAAAGGGTTGAAAACTACAATTTATTTTGAGGGGTGAAATCAAGTATATTTGGAGGGGTGCAATGACGACTTCCACTATAGAATATAGAAAATCAAGTAAAATCATCAAATATATCCATAAGATCAACTATATTTTCTTTTCATACATCTGATTTGAGACAAAATGTAGAGATAATTAGGAGTGTCAATAATATTAGAGGGTAGCACCTCTCCAACCCTTTGTCAATGAACAACACAATTACATTAATTAGGTTCAAAAGCATACTGATGACATTACTAAATATTAATCAATTATCATAGTTTATTTTATTCTTTTGAATTTTCTCATTTAAATAGGTAGAGGGATGAAATTTTACCAGAACAAATCACTTCAAGTAGACACATGCCATCAAGTTTGATAGCTTGTTGATTAATACTCATCACTAGATCTTTATCAGTCAATGCTTGAGATCTATTCAGTTTTGATAGTTTGATGATTAACACTCATTAAGTTGGCAATACTATTTAAACGTAAATAAATACTTCTCTTGAAAAAATTGGAAATTGTAAGTGACTTTAAAATTCTCTATAGGTTTACTATTGATAAATTATGAGAAGTGACTTAAAGAATAAAAATGATAGTATTAGTATTTGATTTCTTCATGAAAGATCTTGGGAATATTTTTCTATTAAATATTTGGAGGACAAAGAAAATGCTACTTTTTTTATCACAAAGATAAACACTTTATTAAATGGCACATAACAAGGTTTATTATGCTCACATTGATGATTGTCGAGATGTAATGCCAAAAATTGCCTACTAAAACTTGTGTGTAGGGAACTACACACATAGTAACTTTTGGTTTGTATGGTATCATTATTTTTTTAGTAGGCAACAAAACATTCTCTCAAACATCGGTGATTTTTGTATCCAGAAATTTTCTATGATTACTTACTTTTCCATGTAAAATTAGCATTTCTACTTCTTCGTTTACCATTTTTCCCATTGCTTTGATCTTATTTTGACTCTTATCTAGTGGAGTTGTCTATATTATTCTAATATATTAAACCTTGTCAAACTTACATTGATTCATATCATATGTTTATGCAAGATAAGTTTCAATGGTTTGATCACCAAATTTATTTCTGAACTTAAACTTAAAATCATTTGTAGAAAGATAAAGATATCCCTATGTCCTTCCCTACCTTTGATGGATTTAGACTTAGGAAAGAATTGCTCTCACATCTGAAATGATGATTTTTAACCAAATTCTGCCATAATCCACCTTCTTATGTCCTCTCTCTCTTCATATGCATACTGTTCCATCTATAAAACCGATCTATGGTAGGTACATATCGCACTTGCTCCATTTGAGGGTTACCTATGTTGGAGGTATCCTTCATAATATCTCAGTCCCATTCTTAGGTGTAATCATAAGGAACTAGGAAATTAAAATATGAGCAATAGACATTGAGCATTAGTTTTACAAGATTACTTAATTTTTTGAAATATATTTATTTATCCAAAAAAATGATCTTATTCAATTAAATGCAGAAATAAGTTATCATACATAATAATAGAAGATTTATATAAACAACTTCCAATTTCAGTAAACACAGATTCAAAACTCTATTGTCCTTTAGTAGAGAGGAGAAATCAGCTCTTGACTTTGACATTATATCGATTTGATGTGATTACCTTAAAACTTTTTGTTACATTTTATTGTGGCATTAAAACCAAAGTAAAGGAGTTCATTAGACTATCAATGTAGTATGGGTTAAGGGTAGTGTATATAATCCTCAAACTGAATCAAATTCATTTCATTTGATAAAAAAAAATATATTAGAATAAATTTCTAGAGAATCTTCAATTTAAAGAGTCATTTAAAACTTGATGGATTTATTTTTCAGATTAAAATTCCCTAATTATTCCATTAAGAAATTAGATTCTATACATGAATTTTGTGCCAAAATATGTCTAGAAATACTAACAATATGAAAGGATAGAATTTAGCAATCAAGGGTACCAAACAAACCATGT